GAGAGAGAATGCAGGATTCAATTTGTCTGCATGGATTCATTTTTCCATAGAGGTTTCAGTTTGTCCTTGCTCTTCCCTGCTTCAGACCAGTTCCTGGTTAGTAGATAAGCTAACCTATAGCAACATTTGGCCCCTATAAACACAGAGGCAATAGGCCTCTTCATCAGCTCCCACGATTACATGAAGTCTAATCTCTGTAATAGATCTCTGATACCACATTTATCACAGTGGTTCTGCTTTCCTTATTAAACCCTAGCTGATGCAAAAATATACGTTAGTCTTTGTTGTTTCGGTTGAGAGAGAGAATCTTTGGCTGGCGTGCAGTGGTGCAATCATGGTTCATTGCATCCTCAACCTCCCAGGCTCAAGTGCTGTTCCCACCTCTGCCTCCCAAGTATCTGGCACTACAGGCAAGTGACACAATGCCCAGCTAATTAAAAAATTTTTTTTTTTCTTTTTAGAGATAGGGTCTGACTGGTGCCCAGGCTGGTGTCCAACTCCTGGGCTCAAGTGATCCTCCTGTCTCAGCCTCCCAAAGTGCTGGGAATCCAGACATGAGCCACCGTGCCTGGCTTAAAATGTATAATGTTTATGGATTTATAAACAACATCCAAGCCCCTTTGTATGGCATATATGACTTTCAAGTCAGTCTTAACCAGCTTTGTATCTCACGCTTTGTCTCACCTTCACTCATATCTATGATTCTATCACTTTGATGGATTTTCTGCTTATCACATGTGGTATGCTCTGGTAGCTTTTATATCTCCCTAGAATGGCTCTCTTCCCATCCTCTCTGCTTATAAATACCATCTCGACCCAGAAGAATCTTCTCAAACGTTGCTTTACCTGTAATATGTTCCCCATCTGTGTCACGTACATTTAATCACTATCGTTCCCATGGCACTTTTTTTTTTTTTTTGAGATGGAGTCTCACACTGTTGCCCAGACTGTAGTACTGTTGCCCAGGCTGTAGTGCAGTGATTGCAGTGGTGCGATCTGGGCTCACTGCAATCTCTACCTCCTGGGTTCAAGCAATTCTCCTGCCTCAGCCTCCTGACTAACTGGGACTACAGGCATGTGCCACCACGCCCAGCTAATTTTTTTTTTTTTTGTATCTTTGGTAGAGATGCGGTTTCACCATGTTGGCCAGGATGGTCTCTATCTCCTGCCCTCGTCATCCACCCACCTTGGCATTCCTAAATGCTGGGATTACAGGCGCAAGCCACCTGTCCATCCCCCTCCCTTATTTTTGAGATAGGGTCTTACTTTGTCTTCCAGGCTGGGGTGCTGTGGCACGAATATGGCCTTGACCTCCAGGGCTCAAGAAATCCTCCCACCTCAGCCTCTCAGCTTTCCAAGTAGCTGGAACTACAGGTGCACACCACCACTCTAGCTAATTTTGGTATTTTTTTGTAGAGACAGGGTTTTGCCATGTTGCTCACTCTGCTCCCCAACCCTTTTTTTCCCCCTTTTTTCTTTTTTTTTAATTTGCAGCAACACCAGCCTAAGAATCTTCTTTAACTTTTGAGCTCAAGTGATCCTCTCGCTTTGGCCTCCCAGTGTTGAGATTACAGGTGTAATCTCAACATCATGCCCAGTAAGCCACTGTGCCAGGCCTGCTACTTGTTTTTTGAAAATAAAAATTTAATGTAAATTTTAATTTAAGTATAATATACACAAAGAAAAGTAAACAAATCTTATAGAGTTAAATATATCCATTTCGGTTTTTTTTTTTTTTTTTTTTTTGAGACGGAGTTTCGCTCCTGTTACCCAGGCTGGAGTGCAATGGCGCGATCTCGGGCTCACGGCAACCTCCGTCTCCTGGGTTCAGGCATTTCTCCTGACTCAGCCTCCTGAGTAGCTGGGATTACAGGCATGCGCCACCATGCCCAGCTAATTTTTTGTATTTTTAGTACAGACGGGGTTTCACCATGTTGACCAGGATGGTCTCGATCTCTTGACCTCGTGATCCACCCGCCTCAGCCCCGCAAAGTGCTGGGACTACAGGCGTGAGCCACTGCACCCGGCCTTATTATATCCATTTCAAGAGAGGACACATTCATGTAACAAACACCTAATTCAAGAAATAGAGCATTACCAGAACACCAGAAGTTTCCTAATCGGATTCGCAGATACTACATCTCCAGCCACAATTCTAATATATTGGTTTTGTCTATTTTTTAACTTTATATAAATAGAATCATATATAATACAGTATGTTCTCTTTTGAATCTTTTTCTTGACACTGTGTGAGATTCAAAGATGTTAAATAGTTGTAGTTTATTTGTTCTCATTGCTTTTCAATAGTCTGTATGTATGTTTTTGTTTTTAGCAGAGTCTCACTCCCCCGCCCAGGCTGGAGTGCAGTGGCACAATCTTGGCTGACTGCAACCTTGAGTCCCGAGTTCAAGCAATTTTCCTGCCTCAGCCTCCTGAGTAGCTGGGATTACAGGCGCGTACCATCATGCCCAGCAATTGTTTTGTTTTTGTTTTAGTAGAGATGGTGTTTCAACATGCTGCCCAGGCTGGACTCTAATTCCTGAGCTCAAACTGAGCTGCCTACCTTGGTTTGTGTTGAGATACAGGCGTGAACCACTGAGTCTGGTTTTTAAAATTTTTTCTTTTCAGCCAGGGTCAGTGGCTCATGCCTGTAATCCCAGCACTTTGGGAGGCTGAGGCGGACGAGGTCTGGAGATCGAGACCATCCTGGCTAACACGATGAAACCCCGTCTCTACTAAAAATACAAAAAATGTACTGGGCGGTATCGCAGGCCTGTCATCCCAGCTACTTGGGAGGCTGAGGCAGGAAATCGCTTGAACCTGGAGGCGGAGGTTGCGGTGAGAGGAGATGGCGCCATTGCAGTCCAGCCTGGGCAACAAGAGTGAAACTCTGTCTGAGGGGAGGGGAATCCATACATGTATTATTTTACCTTTGAATCTAAAACATCTCTAGAAATACGTGATCAAGAATAGTCCTATTAGGTATTGTACTGAAAATACTGGGAGACATGAACTAGTATCTCATGAGGTTATCATATTTTAGGTAGAATTACAGGTTGACTCAATTGGAAGGCACCTTGGGAAGTGATTCAATTCACCATATCACTAATATGTTCCAGCAGGAGTTACCATATCTAAACCAGCATAGCTATACGAGAAAGGGTGGAGCAAACAATATATATTATTGAAGGACTGGGTGCGGTGATTCCTTTCTGTAACCCTAACTACTCAGGTGGCTGAGGTGGATCATTTATTTGAGCCCAAGAATTTGTGATCTGCCTGGGTAACATACCTAAAACAAACAAAAGAATTTGGCTGAGGGCAGCAGTAGCTCAGGTCTGTAATCCCAGCCCTTTGGGAGGCCAAAGCGGAAGGACTGCTCGTGGCCAAGAGTTCCAGACCAGCCTGGCGACATAGTGAGGAAACCACCCAAACCCCCGCCGAGCCTACAAAAAAAACACACACATCATTAAATGCAAAAAGTGTTCCTAGTCTGAATAAATATCTTCCTTTGGTGTGCTGAGAAAGTAGCTCCAAGATTTAAAGCAAGAGCTTTTTTGGGGTTCACTGACTCTTAGCTCTGCTGCTTCCTAAATTGTGGCACCTTGGGCAAGGCAGTTAATATGAGTCTGAATTTCATCGTTGGTAAACACCCTACAGCGCTGTAGGAATATGTGTGATATGCTTGACGAATTCCAGGCACAGTGTAACGGGCAGTCTTTATTCCCAGAACAGCGCTCGGCATTCATAAAAGACCCCAAAATTAGTATGCATCGGGGACAAGAAATTAGACCCCAGTTCTCTGATTCCAGCCCAGTTACACCAGGATAGCTCTCAAAGACACCATTGAGGAATTGTCCCTTACACTAGAAGCAGATGTGGTATTTCAAAGGAACGCGACAAGCCACCCGCTAAGAAGGAGGGGTTTCCGCCGCACGGCGAGCGCTTCCGCCGGACACAGACGCCGAACCGGAAGAGCTGGCAGGAACGCGGGCAGCAGCTGGGAGGTGTCTGGAAGCGCGGCGGAGCGGGGAACTACATTTCCCATAAGTCCCCGGGGCAGGGCGAGGGGCGGGCGTCGGGAACATTACCGGACTGGCCTTGCCCGGCAATACCAAGGTAAATGCCGGCGCCGCGGCTCCGAGGGAAGAGTAACTTACTATCTGCGCCTCGATTTTTACTAGTAATCCTCCTAACCCATCCCCCGAACTGACAAAAACGACTCTTCCATCCGGGAGACTTTGGGATTTCCGGGCCACAGGACTCACCCTCACAACCTTAGCCAGTCCCCCCACCAGCGTTGGGACTGGTACACTTACCAAATGTCTAAGGACGCTGGGGGTTGCGCTAGTATGTTGAAGGCCCAGGGTATCCCCTTTCTAGGGTTGATGATCCGTAAAGCCTCCTCATTGGCCACTCCCTCCACGCCCAGTATCTTTTAATTAAAAAAAAAATTAATTGGTTTCTTAGAGACAGGGTCTTGCCATGTTGCCCAGGCTGGTCTTGAACTCCTGGTCTCAAGCGATCCTCCCCGCTCTGCCTCTCAAAGTGTCGGGATTACAGGTGTGAGCCACTTGAGCCCCCAGTCTCTTATTAAATCCGCCTGGTGGTGATTGGCTCCCTGGGGCTGGGTGGAAAGCTAGCCGAGGGGAAGTCGCCCTCCGTCCCAGCCCAGTTTAGGAGCTGGCGAACTCCCCCTCTCCTTTCGCTGCTGCTCAGACTTCCTTGGCTCAGGGCGGCGAAAACTGGCGAAGACCCGCGGGTCAAGGACTGCTGAGCACCTCCATCTAAGGTCCACAATGTTTTCCCCCATCTACCCTTTAGAGTGGTGTCACGATTGCCACTGGAGAGGCTAAGTGACTTGCCCTAGGTCACAGAACTTAAATGTTAGAACTGGGGGTTCGCACAGAACCTGTCCCGACTCAAAACCCTTGGCTTAGGCCCCATTATCTTCCTCAAACCTTAACCTAGGAGAGTGCAGGCGCTGGGGACCGCGGAGTCATTTTTGTTGCCCAGCGGTGCGGTCGCGCGCAGCTTCCGGCCCAGGCGCAGACCCAAACCCGCATCCCCAGCGCCAGTCCACCCGGCTGCCAGAGCGGACATACCGGTCCGGCCTCGGTTACCCCTTCTGAATAACAGGGAGCACAGGTTGCTCCCCGCACAGAGCTGGGGCTGTGGCACCCTGGAGGGTTCTCTCTCCTCCTTTCCCCGCTTCCCGGGCCCTACTCTGGGGACAGACTGATCGCGCGCGTCCTCGCCGCGGCGGCGGGGCCGGTGGGTGGGGTTTGCTGCACGGCCGCTGCGGCGGCGGCAGCGCCAGTGGGTTCTCCGGTGACTCTGAGGCGGGGCTGTGGGGAGGGCGCGGACTGACCGACGGACTCCGGCGGAATGGGGGGTGTGGCTGCTCCGCCAGGGTCCCCCGGGTGGGAGAGCGGCTCTGCGGCCACCGGTGCCCGGACCCCCTCTGCCTTCTGCTAGACATGCTCTTCCTCTCGGTGAGTTGTTTTGCTGTCGTCGCGGGCCGGATTCGTGGCCTTAGTCACGCCCAGGGGGAGGAGGAAGGAGCCGAGCAGTCTCGATCCGTGTGGCCTGGATGGGGCAGGGCAAAGGGGAACTGACCCGCTACGCTCTCGGGCCTCCTCCTTTTGGGGCATGTTGATCCGCGGCTGCGCTCCATGTTCCAGTTTCATGCAGGCTCCTGGGAAAGCTGGTGCTGCTGCTGCCTGATTCCCGCCGACAGACCTTGGGACCGGGGCCGGCGTTGGCGGCTGGAGATGGCGGACACGAGATCCGTGCATGAGACCAGGTTTGAGGCAGCGGTGAAGGTGATCCAGAGTTTGCCGAAGAATGGTACGTGTGCTGGGCCCGGGCTGGAGACGCCTCCTGCAGAGAGGCCCGAGGCCCCAGCTTACCTCCTTTCAGCTTCTGGTTCTAGTGTTGTTTATTTAGCCTATTTTTTAATTTTTTTTTTTCTGTGTAGGAGCTACGTAGTGAAAGGGGATGCTATTGAATATCAATTAATTGCCTTTTGATCTTCCAAACCGGAGAAAGAGATAATATCCAGGTTTTAAGTAGTTCATATTGTTGAAAACAAGTCTTGTCACTTAATGACTGCGGGTTTGGGTATGTTTTAAAAAAATCTGGGATGGGATGCCTACTGAACACTTACAGGGTCTACCAGCTTAAGCCCTCTGAAAACTTTTGATACGAAGGGACAGAAAAGAAAGAACAACTATAGCCAATTGGGAAATGATTTCTCTTTATTTTTATAAATATATATTTACTACCTTTGTATTTGCTATTCCATTGTATAATGTTCTCTTTTTTATACTCATATTGGACCTTCTTTGCAGCTTGTGAGAAAAAAGTCATTGGAGTTGCCGATATCTTGTGTTTAATGCGTTATTTCTCCGGCTGCTTTTTAGATTTCTTTTCTATCTTCGGTTTTCAGCAATTTGACTAGTAGGTGTGATTTTTCTTCATATTTACCGTGTTCACAATTTGCAGAGCTTTTTGAATTTATATTTTTATGTCATAGACCAAAGCAAAGTTTTTGGCCATTAGTTAAATATTTTTTTTTTTTCTTTCTTTCTTTCTTTTCTTTTCTTTTCTTTTTTTTTTTTTTGAGATAGAGCCTCACTCTGTCGCCCCGGCTGGAGTGCAGTGGTGCCATCTCAGCTCATAGTAACCTCCGCCTCCTGAGTTCAAGGGATTCTCCGCTCTCAGCCTCCCGAGTAGCTGGGATTACAGGCAATCGCCACTACGCCAAGCTAATTTTTTATATAGACAGGGTTTCGCCATGTTGGCCAGGTTGGTCTCGAACTCCTGACCTCATGATTCGCCTGCCTTGGCCTCCCAAAGTGCTGGGATTACAGGCGTGAGCCACCACGCCCAGCCCTTGTTAAATATTTTTCTTTGTTCATAGAACTTCAGAGAGGAGACTTACTTTTCAATTCAAATCCTTCTACGTTATATGAAATATATTTCACAATAAACATATTTAAGGCCGGGTGTGGTGGCTCACACCTGTAATCCTAGCACTTTGGGAGGCCGAGGTGGGTGGATCACCTGAGGTTAGGAGTTCAAGACCAGCCTGGCCATCATGGTGAAACCCCATCTTTGAAAAAATTTAAATAAATAAATAAATAAACATATTTAAAAAAGTAATTTTAGGTACCACTACTGTGCCACAGTTGTAAAACTAACCAAATACAATAATAATACATTACTATAGTATTTAATATCATGGTTTCTGTTTTCATTAATTATCATTTGGCTAGGTAACGAATATTCAACACAAATCATTCAACAAAAATTCATTAAATGCAGATTCAGAAAGTTTTAAAAACAAATATACACAAAATAGTGTTCCATTTGTAATTTTATCTTTTTTTTCTTCTATGATGTTATCTGAACCTTTTGTAATTCCAAGAGATAAAGATAAAGACTAAAAGATAAAGAATAATAAAATATAAATAAATAAATAACATATGAACTTATTTAGGTATTGACTTTTTAAGTCCCCGATTATTAGAACTTATAGAAAGGTATTATTCTAAGAGTTTTATGTAAGTATGTTTACCCTTTCTCCTAAAGCACATGTTTTTATAGTTTTTTTTGAATACAGGTAAAGCTAGACTGATGTCTCTAGGCCACTGTCCCTGTTGACATTACATACCACTTATTAGGAAACCCATATAAATTAAAGTACAGTTTGTATTTACATAACATTTAAGAAGGTATTGCAAAATTAAGATACCCTATCAAATGGTAACTGTGTTGGACAATATCCAGTATAATGTTATCCCCCGAAATTAATTGAAGCAGAAGTTTGTCATGATGAATTGTTACAAATATTTTTGTAATACTACTTTTAAACCATTTAATTTGCTCTGAACCATTTGCAAAGAGCAAGATCTTGCAGTTTTTTGTTACTTGTTGCTCAATATTTATTTAAGGCCTGAAGTAGTAATAGATCCTGTGGTGTCTATGTTTGATATGACCTTAACTTTTCAAAATTAAAGTTCTTAGATAATATTTCAGACACATGTTAAATCTATCATGTATGAGCCCCTTGAGGACAGACTCAGAGTTTTTTATACACAGACTATGCTCAACAAATGTATGTTTTTGTTTTTTTAAATATCATTCACTAAGCCAATAAACTTATTTGGTTGACTTACTGAAGATATTTTGAGATTAGACTTTTGATGTTTTAAATTTAGATTTGTGTTACTTAAATGAGTGACCACTAAAACTGTGGTTTCTCCATTTTTTCCCCTCTGCTGTATAAAGGATTGTATCATTAAAATACTGTACCTATTAGGTATTCCTAAATGTACACATATTATACAGATAATTATTATTGTGATTTGAGAATTAATCATAAACGCTTGGCCAAACTGGAAACACCAGCTGTGTGGTAATTTCCACAGCTTTTTTTTTTTTGAAATGGAGTCTTGCTCAGCTGCCCAGGCTACAGCAGTGGAGCAATCTTGGCTCACTGCAACTACTGTCTCCCAGGTTCAATCAGTTCTCCCTTCTCAGCCTCCCGAGTAGCTGATTACAGGCACCTGACATCATGCCCTACTAGTTTTTTGTATTTTAGTAGAGATGGGGTTTCACCATGTTGGCCAGCCTCGTCTTGAAAAGTTTTTTGTATTTTAGTAGAGATGGGGTTTCACCATGTTGGCCAGCCTCGTCTTGAACTTCTGACGAGGATCACTTCACTTCAGGTGATCCACCCACCTGGGCCTCCCAAAGTGCTAAGATTACAGGTGTGAGCCACTGCTCCCATCCCACAGATCTTATAAACTGCTAGGTTATTCAATTTGCAAACTTTAAAAAATATCTTGTTACAATTTTTATTTTTATAATTTTGTTATAATATACACTGATGTTTAAAACCTTTTTATTGATTTCCAGTATCTCTGAAGATCACTTAAATTAAAAAAAAAAACTTTTAAAAAATAGATGAAAAGGAAAATAATCTGTATACTTACTATCCAGAGATAGTCTTTAAACATTTTGATGTTTATCTTTCTACTGTACTTTTTATGTATATAAATATTTTGCAAAGATATGTCATATACGTTGTTTTTAAACTTATTTTTTTTTAATGTATAGTAGATCATGGAACTTATACTATTATTTATATTTTTCTACAATATAACTTTTTAGGGCCACAGTTATAAATTATGCTTTTATAGTTAATATCATAATTATTTAAACAGTTATTTCCTATAAAACATTAACATTCCAATTTTTCAATTATTGAGAATATTGCAACTTATAGCACTTGCTTATACAATTTGAATTTTTTTTTTTTTTTGAGACAGGGTCTTTTTCTGTCACCTAGGCTGTAGTGCAGTGGCGTGATCACAGCTCACTGCAGCCTTGACCTCCCAGGCTCAGGAGATCCTCCCCGCTTAGCCCCCTGAGTAGCTAGGACTACAGGGTGTGCTATCACACCCAGCTAATTTTTTTTTTTTTTTTTTTTGTAGAGACAGGGTTTTGCTATGTTGCCCAGGCTGGCCTTGACCTCCTGGGGTCAGGTGATCTGCCCACCTCAGCCTCACAAAGTGTTTCGATTACAGGAGTGAGCCACCACACCTGACCAATTTGAAAATTTTAAACATGTAAAAAGTTATGGATATGCTAGAAACATATATGAAGAATTATTCTCAAAGAAATTGATATTTCTAAAATTACAGAGGTAGGAGTGAAAAATCTATTTTATCTTGGATTAATTATTTTTCTACCATAGTATATACTATTTGGCTTTAGCCCCAAATTCCTTATATACTGATAATTTGAAATTTGGCAGGGTATACATGTAACTTTTTCACTTATGCTAGTCAGTTTTGGTTTGTCATAAATTTTGAATAAAAATACTCTTTTTTCAATGGTTGCATAATAATAGTTATTCTATATTTTAGTATATTTTTAAAGAGACATTAGCTGGTTATTCTGGTTATATCTACAGCATATCTCTTCATTTATTCTTTTATTTATTGAACCATCTTAGCCATTGCTATTAAAATCTAAAATCTCAGAGTGTTTTGAAATCAAAGAAGCAAGCAACTAACAGAGCCATAATTTTTGTTTCTATAAGATAGAAATCAATCATTATCTAAAGTATTAATGAAATATAAAATCACTATTAGTATAGCTAAGGTAATTTATAACCTTAGATTATCTGTTGTATTCCCCAGATGATCTATATATAATGTTTTATATTGTGTGTTTACAACAGGTTCATTCCAGCCAACAAATGAAATGATGCTTAAATTTTATAGCTTCTATAAGCAGGCAACTGAAGGACCCTGTAAACTTTCAAGGCCTGGATTCTGGGATCCTATTGGAAGATATAAATGGTAATTTTTTGTGTAGAGCAAGAATTTAAATTTTAATGATGTAATTAACATATGGTTACTACTTAAGTGGTTATATATTATTATGTGCAGAAAATGTCCTAGGTATTAGGTACAATTTTTATCCTCCAGGTTTTTTTCTTTTTTTTTGTCGCCCAGGAGGGAGTGCGGTGGCAGGATTTCGGCTCACTGCAATCTCTGCCTCTTGGCTTCAAGCGATTCTCCTGCCTCAGCTTCCCGAGTAGCTGGGATTACGGGCTTGCTACCATGCCCAGCTAATTTTTGCATTTTTAGTAGAGACAGGGTTTCGCTATGTTGGCTAGGCTGGTCTGGAACTCCTGGCCTCAAGTGATCACTGGCTTCAGTCTCCTAAAGTGCTGGGATGATAGATAGGAGTGAGTTGCCATGCCCAGCCTCTCCAGGTGTTCTTAATACAGTTTTACACAAACAGGAAAATCCTGGGAGGAGAGGAAAACAATAAAACCAAATGGGATAGGTGCATCCAAGGTAAGAAACATTTCAGTCAATCTTTATTTTTATGGAGTTTCCCCCCCTTTTTTTTTCAAGCCAAGAGCAACTCCCAACCTAAGTTAAAGAAACAAATTTCACTGCCTCTTTTACCTGCCAAGAAAAATAATGGCTTTTGCTTGTTTGTATTGAGCGTTTAAAAGAGTAAATAGCTAGTAATATGACTCGGGTACTGCCATGCTAACTTTTTATGTAAGCTGTTACTTCTAACCTACTATACTTGAATAGAAATTTGATTTTTTGAATACTTAAAAGAATTATAAACTAAAAAGTATACTTAAAAGAATTATAAGCTGGGCGAGGTGGCTCATGCCTGTAATCCTAGCACTTTGGGAGGCTGAGGTGGGTGGGTCACCTGAGGTCAGGAGTTCAAGACCAGCCTGGCCATCATGGTGAAACCCCATCTTAAAAAAAAAAAGAATTATAAACTATAAATTAAAAGAATTATAGACACAAATACCTGTACCTGTGCTGTTTTCCCAGTTGACTAACAGTTGATATTCTTAATGCAGTTGAAGCCTTAACAAATGTCTGACAAAAGTCTTTTAGACTGTACATTATGAACAGAATATGTAAATTGGTAAAGCATGTTTTAACACCCACACTAGTTTTTTGGACACAGGGTCTCACTCCCATCACTCAGGCTGGAGTGCAGTGGCACGATCACGGCTCACTGCAACCTCTGCCTCCTGGGCTCAAACAATCCTCCCACCTCAACCTCCCTAGTAGCTGGGACTACACACATGTGTCACCACACCTGGCTAATTTCTAAAAATTTTTTCTAGACATGGGGTTTGTCTATGTTGCCCAGGCTGGAGTGCAGTGGTGCTGTTTTGGCTCACTGCAGCCTCTACCTCCCAGGTTCAAACGTTTCTCCTGCCTCAGTCTCCTGAGTAGCTGGGATTACAGGGGTGTGCCACCATGCCTTGCTAATTTTTGTATCTTTAGTAGAGACGGGGTTTCACCATGTTGGACAGGCTGGTCTCAAACTGCTGACCTCAAGTGATCTGCCCACCTCAGCCTCCCAAAGTGCTGGGATTACAGGCTGAACCACTGTGCCCAGCCCAGTTTTTTTTTTTTTAACCCACACATTGTGATGCTCAGTTTCTTCACCCTGCACTGGAAGTGCCATAAGTTTGTTTCAAGATTTCTCAGTACTCTACTTTTCTCTATTATCTTTATGAATAGTCATACAATAATAGGTTAAATGAAATAGTAATATAATATAACTTAATTTTAGTAGTATTTGATTTGCCCATTTTAAGAAGATATAATTAATTGTTTCATGTTTTTCCCCTAGAATTGACCTTTGGTGGAGTTAAACTCCTGGGAAAAACATATTAAAAGGGAGGTTTACACATCAGGCAAAAATGTGAAAGAACTATTATTATTTAGGGGTTTAAAAATTGCCTATCCCTCACATTTTCAGTATTCTAGAAGTGATAAATTAGTTCCATTTTTAGTTTACATATACAAGTTAGGCTCTTATTTAAATTAATGGAACTTTTAAACCAAAATGTATGTTCATTTAAAATATGCCTGGCTGGGCGCAGTGGCTCATTCTTGTAATTCCAGCACTTTGGGAGGCCGAGGCGGTAACCAGCCTGGCCAACATGGAGAAACCCCGTCTCTACTAAAATACAAAAACTAGCTGGGTGTGGTGGTGCTTGCCTGTAATCCCAGTTACTCGAGAGGCTGAGGCAGGAGAATCGCTTGAACCCGGGAAGTGGAGGTTGCAGTGAGCCAAGATCGCACCACTGTACTCTAGCCTGGGTGACAGAGCGAGACTCCATCTCGAAAAAAAAACCAAAAAAAACCCATGCCTGCATGTTACAGCTCTTTTAGAATTTTTCTGGCAGGCTTGTGGTCTTTATTGAAAGCCCATTGAGAAATTTATATGAAAAGGAAAATAAAAAATAAAACATGCCTGTGACAATTAAGGTGGTCTTCTACACTTGATCTTAGCTAAAAGCCTGGGAAGTGATAATGTCGTCTTCTGAAATGTTTATTTCTGTTACTGTTCTTTGTAATAATATAAAAACTTTGAAGAGTTCTTAGCAAATATTTATGAATATTCTGTAGTCTCTGGTATATTACTACATAGATGGGTTATATAATTACTTCTTTTAAATACTATTTAATTTGCTAGTTTATTTGCTATGTTAATTTTTTTTCATGGTGGAACATTTAAGGCAATCCTGTTACGACTTTATGTAGAGTCTGTTTTAATTAATAACCCTATAGCATCAACTAAAAATTGTATTCTGAGCAATTAAAAATCAGATATCTCTTTGTCATTATGTGGCTATTTTCATTTCTAGGGATGCTTGGAGTTCACTGGGTGATATGACCAAAGAGGAAGCCATGATTGCATATGTCGAAGAAATGAAAAAGGTAGGGAAAATAATTCACAGTTAAAACGAAAATTCAGAGCAGCTCTAATTTAATTTGGTTTATCAGACAAATTAGCTGCTTTGTTTTAAGGAGATTGTAGTATGTTACACAATAGAATCTAGATTACTAGATTTATAGGACTTTTCTGTCACATGAAGTCCATCTGAAGTGTTTTTTCCTTCAGATGTATCACACTGTGATGATGTGATTTTTTATTTATTTATTTTTTTTGAGACAGAGTCTCACTCTATTGCCCAGGCTGGAGTGCAGTGGCGTGATCTTGGCTCACTGCAACTTCCGCCTCCTTGGTTCAAACGATTCTTCTGCCTCAGCCTCCTGAATAGCTGGGACTACAAGCACGCACCACCATGCCCGGCTATTTTTTGCATTTTTAATAGAGACAGGATTTCGTCATATTGGCCAGGCTAGTCTTGAACTCCTGACCTTGTGATCCACCCTCCTTGGCTTCCCAAAGTGCTGGGATTACAGGTGTAAGCCACCTTGCCCAGCTGTGATGTATTATTTTGTTTTTGTTTTTGTTTTGAGACGGAGTCTTGATCTGTCGCCCACGTTGAAGTACAGTGGCACAATCTTGGCTCACTGCAACCTCCGCCTCCCAGGTTCAAATGATTCTCCTGCCTCAGCCTCCTGAGTAGCTGGGACCACAGGAGTAAAACACCACGCCCAGCTAATGTTTGAATTCTTAGTAGAGATGTGGTTTTGCCATGTTGTCCAGGCTGGTCTCAAGCTTCTGACCTCAAGTGATCCATCTGCCTCAGTCTCCCAAAGTGCTGGGATTACAGGCATGAGCCACTGCGCCCAGCCTGTTTTTTTGTTTTTTAATCTTCCCAATCTTTCTCTATAGTTAACTTCTGGAGAAAGTGTAGAAATAGTAATCTTTGAAAATATTAAAGTCCCTTAGGAGTCTAGAAAGTACCTGGACTCTTCAAAATATTTCTGCTTTGGAACTTTTTACTTAGTTCAACTTTTTACTTAGTTCTCATGTATGTTTTCACTCATAAATTGAGGTAGGTATTCTCATCACTGGACTTCTCTGTAAGAAGTCACATTTTTCTGCTTTCCTTCAGAAGCAGAATAAGATACAGAAGTTTTCAAGTTCTCTGCTAACTAGTAAGGAGGGGTGTTCATTATTAACTAGCTCTTTTAAGTGTGTCAAAGACATTCTTTTGAGAGCAAGTGTATGAAGAAATCATGAATTTTAAAGATGATCATAAAGACTTTTTTTTTTGTTTGAGACAGAGTCTTGCTCTGTTGCCCAGGCTGGAGTGCAGTGGCATGATCTCAGGTGACTGCAACCTCTGTCTCCCAGGTTCAAGAGATTCTCCTGCCTCAGCCTCCCAAGTAGCTGGGATTGCAGGTGCATGCCACCATGCCTGGCTTATTTTTGTATTTTTAGTAGAGATGTGGTTTCGCCATGTTGGCCAGGCTAGTCTAAAACTTCTGACCTCAGGTAATCCACCCACTTCAGCCTCCCAAAGTGCTGGGATTACAGGCGTAAGCCACTGTGCCTGGCCAAGACTTTTTATAAAGAACCATTATTATGTTAGATATGGATCAGAAGTTGTGAAATCTACATTTGATAACCTTTTTTTTTTTGAGACAGAGTTTCACTCTTGTTACCCAGGCTGGAGTGCAATGGCCGATCTCGGCTCACCGCAACCTCCGTCTCCTGGGTTCAGGCAATTCTCCCGCCTCAGCCTCCTGAGTAGCTGGGATTACAGGCACGCGCCACAATGCCCAGCTAATTTTTTGTATCTTTAGTAGAGACGGGGTTTCACCATGTTGACCAGGATGGTCTCAATATCTTGACCTTGTGATCCACCCGCTGCGGCTTCCCAAAGTGCTGGGATTACAGGCTTGAGCCACCGCGCCCGGCCTACATTTGATAATCTTAAGTAAATTATCTTTGAACATAATCTATAAAAAGGAATAATTTTTTGCCATGTGGTTTGATAGTATTAATCTCTGTAGTAATTTTTATTTATTGTTACTAGATTTAGACTAGTTTTTTTTTTTTTTGTTTTTCTTTTTAAATTTCTTTCACACTGCTCATGGTTGTGCCCTTTGTTGCATTCTTGCAGTTTTATTTGGTGGACTTTGTAATAGAGGGCAGAGTTTGAGTTCCTTTGGCTGTTAACTACGTCAATAACACCATAACAAATAGACTTTTCAAAAGCAGAGAAAGAAAGATCATCTAAGGCGTTTTGGTTTCATAACTATTTCTGTCTCACTTTTTTTTTTTAACCTTAAATGTATTTATAATTTTTAGGACATATTTCTATAATATAAAGTTGAATTGACACATTAAGTAAAATTTACCCATTTTTTCTATTCAATTGTGTTAATCGGTTGTATAGCCAGTTTAAAGTGAGAGGATGATAAAGCAATGTGTATTCTGCCTTTTTCCCCTAGAAAGATTAGAACTAGATTGTTACTAAAATGCCTGTAACTCCTTCTATAATTAAAATAATTTAATCTTGTCATCCACACTTTAAAAATTTCATTGTATATTGTGAATATGACAAAGTTTACAGTACAGTTTTAGAGATAAACCTAAACATATCAATTAAAAATGTGATTACTCTTTTGAATTATTTTTAGATTTTCACTTTATGGCTATCAATTAAAAAAAATTGCATGTTTCTAAATAATTTTGCAAGATAGTACATTATCCCAAAGATCTGATGATTGAATTTGGGACTTACTCTAATTGCAATAATTTACCAACTGAAGCACTTGTTAAATTATCTCCTTAAATATAATTCATCAATTACTATAGTATTGTTCTTTGTCATTACTCTTTTTTTTTGTTGAGACAGGATCTGGGGTCTGGTTCTGTAGCCCAAGCTGGAGTGCAGTGGTGTGATCTTAGCTTGCTGCAACCTCTGCCTCCTGGGTTCAAACAATTCTTGAGCCTCAGCCTCCCAAGTAGCTGGTACTACAGATGTATATCACCACACCCAGCTAATTTTTAGTATTTTTAGTAGAAATGGGGTTTCGTCATGTTGGCCAGGCTGGTCTCGAAATCCAGACCTCAGGTGATCTACGTGCTTTGGCCTCCCAAAGTGCTGGGATTACACTGTGCCCTGCCTGTCATTATTCTTTGCAGTATAAATCTCATTTTATGTCTTTGCTGTCAGAGGTTTTAGCAACCTTATTAATTTAACTTATATTTTAGAATAAAAGATCTTTTGTAGAAAGTGACTTTTCATAATTTATAAATTATCCTACTTTAAAAGAATAAAAAATTCTTTTAACACCAGCCGTGGTGGCTCATGCCTATAATCCTAGCACTTTGGGAAGCCAAGCTGGGTGGATCACTTGAGGTCAGGAGTTCAAGACAAGCCTGGACAACATGGCGAAACCCTGTGTCTACTAAAAATACAAAAAATTGGGCAGGCATGGTGGTGTGTACCTATAATCCCAGCTACTAGGGAGGCTGAGGCAGAATCGCTTGAACCCAGGAGGCGGAGGTTGCAGTGAGTCGAGATTGTGCCACTGCACTCCAGCCTGGGGAACAGAACAACATTGTGTTTAAAAAAAAAAATTCTTTTAACATAATAGGATGTTTTTTAGAAAATTGCTTTTCATAATTTATAAAGTGTCCCATAAAATGTCACTGAAAAAGTTGATGGAATAAAATATTATTATAATATAATGTAATAAGATTTTAGCCTTGAGGAAAAGTAATGTGGTTTGAGGGGTGAGGGAAATCCATGTTTCATTCAGTAAGGTTTAGTTTGATTCCTAATCAGAGGGAAGTATAAAATAATATATATATTTTGTACAAATTTAGGCTATCTTCCAGGGATTTCCAGAGTATTCAGCTAACATTATAAATTGTCTCCTGGGTTCAAGCTATTCTTGAGCCTCAGCCTCCTGAGTAGTTGGGACTAAATGTGCCTACGTCTGTTGAATTTAAAGACAGATCAGTGTACTCAACCTTGGCTACATGTTAGAATCACTAGAGGATCTTGTGAAAAAATAGAAATGCCCCAGGATGACCCCAGACTAACTATTTCAGGATTTCTAAGAGATTGAGATAATCACTGTAATAGAGGGAGGATTGGACGATGGTCTCAAAGATGGAAACTTGGCTAGGCGAGGTGGCTCATGCCTGTAATCCTATTACTTTGGGAGGCTGAGACAGGTGGATCACCTGAGGTCAGGAGTTCAAGACTGACCTGGTTGGCTGGGCGCAGTGGCTCAAGCCTGTAATCCCAGCACTTTGGGAGGCCAAGGCGGGTGATCATGAGGTCAAGAGATCGAGACCATCCTGGTCAACATAGTGAAACCCTGTCTCTACTAAAAATACAAAAAATTAGCTGGGCACGGTGGTGCGTGCCTGTAATCCCAGCTACTCAGGAGGCTGAGGCAGGAGAATTGCCTGAACCCAGGAGGCGGAGGTTGCGGTGAGCCGAGATCGCGCCATTGCACTCCAGCCTAGGTAACAAGAGCGAAACTCTGTCTCAAAAAAAAAAAAAAGAAAAAGAAAAAAGACTGACCTGGTCAACGTGGTGAAACTCTGTCTCTAGTAAAAATACAAAAAATTAGCTGGGCGTGGTGGTGGGCACCTGTAATTCCAGCTACTCCAGAGGCTGAGACAGAAGAATCACTTGAATTCAGGTGGCGGAGGTTGCAGTGGGCCAAGATCATGTCATTGATCCAGCCCGAGCAACAGAGTGAAACTCTGTCTCAGAAAATAAGTAAATAAAGATGAAACCTGAAAGTTGCAATGGCCAAGTGTCTAATCCATAGCTCAACAAGTCTAGAACCAGTAACTTTCGAGGGTTGGCTTTTGTTTTAAGGTTTCACTCATAGTAAACATCTTTTGCAGATGGAAGGAAAAGACGAAGGCCAGTTTCTTAACTTAGAGTGGGTCATAGACTTTTCTAGTGATCAGCATACTCAGGATTGATATCTAGGTCATTCTTCTAAAGGTTAGAAGCACTTGGGAGCCTGAATTAGTGATTCCGTTGAACAGAGAGTAGAGCATTGGGATCTGGATGGCTTTAAGGGTTGTGGTCATTTTGGATTAAAAGCCTGAGGAATTTAGTCTTTGATTTCATAGAGTATATCTGCACCTTTCCAGTATATTTTCATCATCTAGAAATGATGTCTCTCACTGAGGAAAAGTGCTGGATAAACCTAGAAAAATTAGTGTGCTGCTTTTCTGGAGACCATGCAGCTTACCACGTATTTCTGTCAAAACATTCTTCTTTTAGATGAGTTATAATATATTGAGTTAGCTTAGTTAATTTATAACTTTAGACCAGAGATGTCTAATCTTTTGGCTTCTCTGAGCCACATTGGAAGAAGAATTGTTTTGGTCCACTCATAAAACACTAATGATAGCTGATCAGCTTAAAAAAAAAAAAAAGAAAAGAAAAATCACAAAAAAAAACATTATGTTTTAAGAAAGTTTATGAATTTGGGCCAGGTGCAATGGCTCATGCCTGTAATCCCAGCACTTTGGGAGGCCGAGGTGGGTGGATCGCTTGAGGTCACGAGTTCCAGACCAGCCTGGGCAACATGGGGAAACCCCGACTCTACTAAAAATAGAAAAAAAAAAAAAATAGATCACGGTGGCACATGCCTGTAGTCCCAGCTGCTTGTGTGGCAGAGATAGAATTGCTTGAACCCCAGAGGCAGAGGCTGCAACGAGCCAAGATTGTGCCACTGCACTCTAGCCTGTGCAAGAGTAAGACCCCATCTCAAGAAAAACCCAAAAAACCAAATTTACAAATTTGTGTTGGGTATTCAAAGCCATTTTGGGCCGAATGCAGCCTGAGGACTGCGGGTTGGACAAGCTTGGTTTAGATAAAATCTTCTCTGAGGGTAAGGAGTAGTTACCTAACTGAGATTTGCCTGTGTATGTGTGTGTGTGTGTGTGTGTGTGTGTGTGTGTTCTAGATCTCGTGTGGTACACTTGCACCATTTCTTATATTTCAACATTGGTGTCAGGGAGATAATTTTGCAAATGGCTGAGATCTTTCTTGGTTTGTGTATGTTTAAAGTGTCTTCCTCAGAGAATAACTTCTTCAAAAGGCTGGAGGCAAGAGCTGAAAAATTCCTATTGAGTACTGTGTTCACTATATGGGTGACTGGACCAATAGAAGCCAAACTTCAGCATCACACCCTTGTAACAAACGTGCACATATACCCTCTGAATATAAATTAAAATTTAAAAAATGGCCAAGTGCAGTGGCTCATGCCTGTAATCCCAGCACTCGGAGGCCAAGGCAGGCAGATCACAAGGTCAAGAGATCGAGACCATCCTGGCCAACATGGTGAAACCCCATCTCTGTATTTTGTAAAAATACAAAAATTAGCTGGGTATGGTGGCACATGCCTGTAGTTCCAGCTACTTGGGAGGCTGAGGCTGGAGAATTCCTTGAACCTGGGAGGTGGAGGTTGCAGTGAGCTGAGATCGTGCCACTTCACTCCAGCCAGGCAACAAAAAGACTCTGCCTCAAAAAAGGAAAAACAAAGAAAGTAACCTTGTCAGTTTTGGATGTGTCTTGTTTTGGCTACCGTGTCTTCACTGCATTAACTACGGCAGTTCTGGCTTGTTGAGAGAATGAATACTCAGTTAATATTTGCTGAATGCGAGTGCATACTCCTTTTATTTTGTTCTGACATTTGAAGTCCACAGTTTACTCTTTTACCCTGTGGAGCACGAGAAACCCAAATGCTAAATTTAGTAGCCTTAGAAATAAAGACAAATTTAAGAAAGAGATCTTTTAATAAGCCTTGAGAAATACAGATGTTGCTTGGTGGTCAGGATGTGGTATGTGGTTGTCTTGCTAGATTCTGCTAACCAACATCTTTATATTACGGCAGTGTGGCATAGTGTAAAGGGCGCTGATTTATGTTTGAATTATTTCTCTGCCATTTATTAGTTGTGCTCCAGAGATTCTTCCACCTCAGCTTCTAAAATAGCTGGGACTACAGGTGTCCACCACCACGTCTGGCTAATTTAAAAAAGTTTTTTTGGTAGAGATGGGGTCTTACTGTGTTGATCCAGGCAAGTCTCGAACTCCTGGGCTCGTCATCCTCCTCTTGCTTTGGCCTCCCAGAGTGCTGGAATTACAAGCCTGAGCCACCACCTCACCCACCCAGAGTGTGTGCACATTAAGTATGTAATTAATGTTGATCCTTTAGGGAGTCTATTATGAACTTCAAATCTTAAAATGATTGATAAATTGGAAATAGGTTATTTGATACTAGTAGAAATCAAATTAAGAGTTTGTGGCTGGGCACGGTGGTTCATGCCTGTAATCCCAGCACTTGGGAGGCCAAGGTGGGCAGATCATGAGGTCAGGAGATCAAGACCATTCTGACCAACATGGTAAAACGCCGTCTCTACTAAAATACAAAAAATTAGCCAGGCATGGGAGCACACACCTGTAGTCCTAGCTCCTCGGGAGTCTGAGGCAGGGGAGTCGCTTGAACCCAGGAGGTGGAGGTTGCAGTGAGCCGAGATTATGCTACTACACTCCAGCCTGGTGATAGAGCGAGACTCCATCTCAAAAAAAAAGAAAAAGAGTTTGTGATTTCACAATATTTGTTTCTTTTGGTTACAGATTATTGAAACTATGCCAATGACTGAGAAAGTTGAAGAATTGTTGCGTGTCATAGGTCCATTTTATGAAATTGTCGAGGACAAGAAGAGTAGCAGGAGCTCTGATGTAACTTCAGGTTGGACTATTTTACCTATTTTTAAATTCATCAACTCATAAATAATGTATATATTAATATTTGTATGTCTGATTTTTTTTTTCTTACTTTCACATGCTAGTCCGACTGGAGAAAATCTCTAAATGTTTAGAAGGTAGGAATAATGAAATCATGCAAAAGTTTTGTTTAAAATTTACATGTCAAAAGAATTCTGCTCAAACTTATAGAACTTATAATCTTGTCATCCAGGAGTTTTCATTCCAAGCAAACACATTGTATGAAGTTCCAAAACATTATAAACCCTTAGAATTTTAACCCTTAAGAGGAAAGCTATTAAAACATAGTTAACCTAATATATTCAAAATTACAGCACAATCTATGGTTTTAGTTTGATAATGTTTTCTATTTTGCTTTGAGAATTATATTAATAGTACTTTTAATTCAATGATTTACCTGCTAACTTTAAAATGGATATGTTGGCTGGTATGGTGGCTCATGCCTGTAATCCCAGCACTTTGGGAAGTCAAGGCGGGTGGATCACCTGGGGTCAGGAGTTCGAGACAAGACTTGCCAACATGGTGAAACCCTATCTCTAGAAAAAATACAAAAATTAGCCAGGCGTGGTGGTGCACGCCTGTGATCCCAGCTACTTGGGAGTCTGAGGCACGAGAATCATTTGAACCCAGGAGGCGGAGGTTGCAGTGAGACGAGATCGCTCTGCTGCACTCTGGCTTGGGTGACAGAGTGAGATGCTGTCTCAAAAAAGAAAAAAAAAAAAGGACAGTATGGTGGTTAAGAACGCCTGTAATCCCAGCACTTTGGGAGGCTAAAGTGGGTGGATCACGAGTTCAAGAGATGGAGACCATTCTAGCCAACGTGGTGAAACCCTGCCTCTACTAAAAATACAATTAGCTGGGTGTATGATTGCATGCCTGTAGTCCCAGCTAGTTGGGAGGCTGAAACAGAAGAATTGCTTGAACCCAGGAGATGGAGATTGCAGTGAGCCAAGATTGAGCCACTGTTCTCCAGCCTGGTGACAGAGCGAGACTCCATCTCAAAAAAAGAAATTAAAATGGATGTGTTTGTAGTGTGGTTTAACTGTAGCATAGCAAGCTAATGCAAGACAGTTAATTCACTTAGCTTGTTTTTTTTTATTTTCTTTTATTTTGGTTCAAGCATCTTTGCATGGATTACAGTTTCATTCTTTTTTTTTTTTAAATTTTGTCTTCATGTACACAAAGTATTGAAAAAGTTATGTTTTGCATACTTGCAGGAGTTAAATAAAATGCAAAATGTATTGGTATTAACTAAACATTTGCTCTTGAAAGTTTTTTAGAAAGCAGAGTGAAATGAGACCACAAGAGTCAATTTAAGTGAAAATTGTATATATACTCTTTAAATAAAAATTGCCTGGCGTCCCTTTTTTTTCCACTTGGGATCCCTATTTATAAGACATCTTTTAATAATTGACAGTAACGGCAGTATTTCGGAATAGTAATCTTCCCTGTGCTGAAATCAGGCCTTGTACCTGTCATGGTAATAAACCATGTGCAAGTGGTACTGAGTGCTTACTGGGCATAACTCTGTAGCACATCATTCTACATCTGGTTTGCTTAGAGAAGTCAAATATTAACAAGACATGCTTATTCAATTCAGAGAAAAAAATAAATGCTTTCTTCTTTTTTTGAGACAGAGTCTTCTGTCACTCAGGCTGGAGTGCAGTGGTCTGATCTGGGCTCACTGCAACCTCCGGCTCCTGGGTTCAAGCGATTCTTCTGACTTAAGCTCCTGAGTAGCTTGGATTACAAGTGTGTGCCACCATGCCTGGCTACTTTTTGGATTTTTAGTAGAGCCAGTTTTGCCATGTTGGCCAGGCTGATCTCGAACTCCTGACCTCAGGTATCTCCTGACTCGGCCTCCCAAAGTGCTGGGATTGCAGAGATGAGCCACTGTGCCCAGCCAGAAAAAAAAAATTAAATGTTTTCTGTATGTCAGGCATGTTAGGATGAAGAGGGAAGTAAATCTGGATCTGCTTCAGTGGTGTCCAGCCACTGGCCAGAGGCAGATATTTTAACAGCTAATTATAAAACAAAGAAGAATAAATAATAGTAATAAGGTATAGGCTCACAGTTACCTAGCTATAACTTAAAAATTTAAAAACCTTTGAAGACCAGAAGTTTTTTTGGTAAACTCATTTGGCAGCAAAACTTGTCTGATACGAAGTAAAAATCTAGGGAGCAAAATCTGACCTGAAATAAAATAAGGATATTTTGAGTCTCTATCCTCTGTAGTGTAACTATTTATATGTTTTGCTGCAAAAATCATATTTTCTCTTTTTAGTGAGAGCTGTCTTAGACTTTATTGGATGTGTTACATAATATACCAAATGGCATATATACCATATAACCTTTGCAAAATTAGAAAAACTTGAGATTTCAAAACATCTGGATCCAAGGGTTGTAAGTAAGGGATTGTGGACTTATACCATAATTTTTTTAACCAGAACCATTCTGATGGATATTTAGGTTGTTTACTCTTTTGATCTTCAAAAAATGATGATGCTGAGAATAACCATGTATTTGTCCTTTCATATATATGAAAGCATATCTGTAAGAAATATTAGAAATGGAATTAGAAATGTTTGATGGGTATTTGTAATTTTATAAGATATTGCAAAATTGCAAGACAGTTTGCAATCTTGTCTTTTTTTTTTTTTTTTTTAAACAAAGCATTTTCTTAAAAGTAGCCATTTAGGTTCAATAGAACAGATGTATCAGTTTTACATGGCCATTTTCAGAATATACATATACAGAAAGTTTTGAAATCAGGAATGGTGAGTCCTCCAATTTTGTTCTTTTTCAAAATTGTTTTGGCTAATCTTGATCCCTCGCATTTTCATACAAATTTTAGAATCTGCGTGTCAATTTTCTGCAAAAATTTTCTGCAAAAATGCCATCTTGGATTTTGCTAGAGATCGTAGTGAATTTGCAGGGAGTATTGTCATCTCAACAATATTGTCTTTCAATACCTGTTCTCAAAACAGTATCTTGTAACCAGCAGCACTGGCAACAAATGTGTCTTTGTAGAGATTTGGAATCTTAGGTCACCCTAGACTTACTAATTCAGAATCTGCATCTTAAATAGATCCCAGCAGATTTATATGTACATTAAAGTTGAGAAGCTTTGATGTATTTATCCTCAGGATATAGCTTTGGCCACTTGGACAATTTGCTTTTGTAAGTGATTGATAACATTAAAGGATACTTTAAGAAAAAACTCAAACGTCATAAAGACATGATATGTGAGTTGTGCACCTGAAGTCCTAGAGGTAATACAGGAATATAATTTTTTAAAAGGACTCCAACTGTAATATTGATGGGATTGTTGGTAGAACCAAAAGTGTAGTTTTTGCTTTCAGCAGGCTAGCATATAGTTAGTATCTCGTCATTTGCCATGTATGAAGATCCATTGATCTCTAACTTTATTTTGATTGATATTAACTTAATTTATCCTCTGCCTGATTCAGAAAGGATTTAAGATAGCTTGATTGTAAGGTGATAATTGAAGGAATTTGTCTATGTAATAATATGTGTGTGTTTATAGTCAAATAAAATAATACCATTATATATATCACTAACATTTTAATTCAGAATTATTTTATTAGTTATTTGTAAATTTCGTTAGTATTATTTGGAAATTATGGCGTTATTGTATATTACCACATTGTGACTAAGTGGTCATTTCATGTTTTAGATATTGGTAATGTTCTCACTTCTACTCCAAACGCCAAAACTGTTAATGGTAAAGCTGAAAGCAGTGACAGTGGAGCTGAATCTGAGGAAGAAGAGGCTCACGAAGAAGTGAAAGGGGCAGAACAAAGTGATAACGGTAACGTTGGATAATCAGTTAGTAATTTTACAATAAACAAGAGGGTATGAAGACATTTGGGCTGATTTGGTATTGTAAAAGATTAGAGTAGGTGGTGGGATGTAGGCTGTTGACCTTATAACCAGGTTTGCTGTGGACCAAAGGCTCTACTACACAGTATAGGAACAGCCAAACTTATGCAGAAATGGAATAGGTGTTAATTGAAGGTTGACAAGAATAGGCCACTCCTCCAAATGGATGGCCTGAAATGCTACATTAGACATGTACTATTTTAAGGTGTTGTTTCTAACATGAATATGAATAAGTTACTAAGGACAGGAGACAAGTTAGACTCTCAGTATCTTGTCAAAAATAGAGTGGAATCTAGAGAATAGGATACAGGCATATATTTTTTTTTGGTTTTTTTTTTTTTGGGTTTTGGTTTTTTTTTTTTTTTTTTTTGCCAATCAGTTTGAGCTTATAAGGTTGCTCAGGTTAGCCTTGAACTCATGACCTCGCCTTCGCAAGTGCCACGACCTCCGGCGGGAGCCACTTTGGACCCCGGGTTTTGGTTTTTTTTTTGAGATGGAGTGTCACTCTGTCACCCAGGCTGAAGTGCAGTGGTGCGATCTCGGCTCACTGCATCCTCTGCCACCTGTGTTCAAGGCATCTTCCTGCCTCAGCCTCCCGCGTACAGGCTTATACCACCACGCCCCGTTAATTTTTATATTTTTAGTAGAGCCGAGATTTCACCATGTTGGCCAGGCTGGTCTCAAACTCCTGACCTCAAGTGATCTGCCTACCTTGGCCTCCCAAAGTGCTGGGATTATATGCATGTGCCAACGCACCGCCTTACAGGCATAAGTTTTCATGAAGAAGGAATATTGGAATTATGGGTTAGAGCATTGGGGGCCTTGTTAGAATACCAGTGATACATGGGAAGACTGTTTTCAAAAAGGGGAGACAGAAAGACACTAAAACAAACTGCATAACTTAGTTTTGCCTTCCCTTTCCAGTAAGGTATGACAAATAACACCTTCTTTAAGGATCTTTTTTATCAACTATGTGGACCCCTTTGCACTGCTAGGTCTCATAGAGCAATTTGCTTATGCCTAAGAGTAAAAAGACTTTGAGAGATTACTTTTTAAAGGAATTCTAGAAGATTCACAGGGAACTGAAACAGTTTTGAAGCCAACATAGTTTGGGTGAGCTCTTAGTATGTAGTAAACCCCATTTCAAGGAGCATGCCTTCTCTTTGATCCAAGTAGGAAACCCTTCAAAGGGATTGTGGTAGGTTAGGGAAATGACAGCTGGTTATGAAAACATGGTATACAGAAGGTGACCTACTGTGAACTTTTATGAATGTCTCCCTTTTCTCATAAAAGATAAGAAAATGATGAAGAAGTCAGCAGATCATAAGAATTTGGAAATCATTGTCACTAATGGCTATGATAAAGATGGCTTTGTTCAAGATATGCAGAATGACATTCATGCCAGTTCTTCCCTGAATGACAGAAACACTGAAGAAGTAAAGCCTCTTGATGAAAACTTGGGGCAAACTGGAAAAACTGCTGTTTGCATTCACCAAGGTATTGTCCCCAAATAATTCTGTGTCCATCCTCTTGCCTATGAATAGCCTTTTAATAATTACAGGATCTTTAGGATCAGTTTTGAATTAAAAAATCTCTTATTTAGTCATATCTTAGGGCTTATTAATATTATAAGGGTTTATGGTTTTGAAAGAGAGTGAATTAAGGCCAGGGTTATATATGTATTTCTTTCTGTTGCCCAGGCTGGAGTGCAGTGACAGTCATGGCCCACTGCGGCTTTGAACTCCTGGGCAATTCTGCCACAGCCTCCTGAGTAGCTGGGGTTACAGGCATGTACCACCATGCCCAGCTAATATTTAAATTTTTTGCAGAGACATGGTTTTGCCAGGTTGCCCAGGCTGGTCTGGAACGCCTGGGTTCAAGTGATCTGCCTTCCTCAGCCTCCCAAAGTGCTAGTATTATAGGCATGAGCCTCCATGCTGGCCTATTTTTCAATTTTTAGGGCTACCTAATAGTCCATATGAGAAACATAATTGCTTTTTCTTTTTTTCTTTTTTTTTGAGATGGAGTCTTGCTTCTTTGCCCAGGCTGGAGTGCAATGGCACCATCACAGCTTACTGCAACCTTCACCTCCTGGGTTCAAGCAATTCTCCTGCCTCAGCTTCCCCAATAGCTGGGATTACAGGTATTTTCCACCACACCCAGCTAATTTTTGTATTTTTAGTGGAGATGGGGTCTCACCATGTTGGCCAGGCTAATCTTGAACTCTTGACCTCAAGTGATCCACCTGCCTTGGTCTTCCAAAGTGCTGGGATAACAGGCGTGAGCTGCCTCGCCCGGCCAAGAAACATCATTTCTTAATGTAAGAACCCAACTTGCACAGATGCATCTTACATTTAGGCATTCTGCTTTGTAGGTAGTTTTTTCTTATGGGGTTACTAGGTTTTATAAGGTTTCATCTAGACTGTCTTTATGGAATTCAGTGACAAAATATTTTGGTCTTTTCAAGTAAAAATTAACAACTAAATTTAAAGTTTTGGTAAATTTTAAAAAGTGTGGCTTGATAAATCAAATTTGTCTCTCGGTATAAAAATAAGGCTGAAAAAATATATAAGGCCGATGAATTTTGAAAATGGAATATGAAAACAGACTAAAAAGAAAAAAAGAAAATGGAATAAAGGCCAGGTGCGGTGGCTAATGCCTGTAATCCCAGTACTTTAGGAGGCTGAGGTGGATGGATCACCTGAGGTCAGGAGCTGGAGACCAGCCTGGACAACATGGTGAAACTCCGTCTCTTAAAAATACAAAAATTGGCTGGGCACGGTGGATCATGCCTGTAATCCCAGCACTTTGGAAGCCCAGGTGGGTGGGTCAGGAGTTCAAGACCAGCCAGAACAACATGGCAAAACCCCATCTCAATTTAAAATACGAAAAATTTGCCAGGTGTGACAGCATGCGCCTGTAATCCCAGCTACTCGGGAGGCTGAGGCAGGAGAATCGCTTGAACCCTGGAGGTAGAGGTTGCAGTGAACCAAGATTGCACCACTGCGCTCCAGCCTAGGTGACAGAATGAGACTCCATCTAAAAATAAAAAAAAATTAACTGGGCATGGTAGCAGGCACCTGTAATCCCAGCTACTTGGGAGGCTGAGGCAGGAGAATCGCTTGAACCCAAGAGGCAGAAGTTGCAATGAGCCAAGATCACACCACTGCGCTCCAACCTGGACAACCGAGTGAGACTCCAACTCAAAAAAAGGAATAAATTTGTTTTTCTTTTATTAGAGTGTAATTATACTATCTGCACTTTTGTTCATATTTAGATATAAATGATGATCATGTTGAAGATATTACAGGAATTCAGCATTTGACAAGTGATTCAGACAGTGAAGTTTACTGTGATTCTATGGAACAATTTGGACAAGAAGAGGTAAGAATGACATTTTCTGATTGGTAAATTTTCAGAGTGGTATATTAGAATTCATGCGTAATGACGTTAGTAGCAAATATACATGCTATTTTTCATTTTGAAAATATGCCCCTAACATGTGTATTTTAAACTATTTTTTCTTAATTCAAAAATATGTAAAATTCTAGAAAAGTCAAAGAAAGAAAAATTAATAACAATGAACTATTCCATTATAACTAATAATATACATATATTTATAAATATTCTAGGAGATGTGGGATGGAGATGCAGAGGAAACACTTTTTATGCTAGTCCCTATGTTTGAAACATTTATTAATGTTCAGGAAAATTGAATTATTTTCTTTGTTGTTGTTTTTGTTTTTTAGAGATGAGGTCTCGCTCTGTCGCTCAGGCTGGAGTGCAGTGGTGCAACCTCAGGTCACTGCAACCTCCTGCCTCCTAGGTACAAGTAATTCTCCTGACTCAGCCTCCCAAGTAGCTGGGATTACAGGTGTATGCCATCATGCCTGGCTAAGTTTTTTTTTTTCTTTTTGAGATGGAGTTTCGCTCTTGTTACCCAGGCTGGAGTGCAATGGTGCAATCTCGGCTCACCGCAACCTCGGTCTCCTGGGTTCAGGCAATTCTCCTGCCTCAGACTCCTGAGTAGCTGGGATTACAGGCATGCGCCGCCATGCCCAGCTAATTTTTTTTTGTATTTTTAGTAGAGATAGGGTTTCACCATGTTGACCAGGATGGTCTCGATCTCTTGACCTCGTGATCCACCTGCCTCGGCCTCCCAAAGTGCTGGGATTACAGGCGTGAGCCACCGCGCCCAGCCTGGCAGGCTAATTTTTATATTTTCAGTAGAGACAGAGTTTCACCATTTTGGCCAGGTTGGTCTCAAACTCCTGGCCTCAACTGATCTGCCTGCCTCAGCCTCTCAAAGTGCTGCGATTACAGACATGAGCCGCCACCCCCAGCTCAAATATGGGTTCTTGATATGTTGCCTGGCGTAGTCTCAAACTCTTGGCCTCAATCAGTGCTACCACCTCGGCCTCCCAAAATGCTGGGATTACAGGTGTGAGTCACCAAGCCTGGCCTGAATAATTTTTAAATAAATAAGTCTGTTCTTCACATTGACTATAATTCATTGGATTGAAATTTTTAGTGGAAATAATTTTTAAATTTCAGTTGATTAAGATGCAGTATTGGAAGAGAAAACTTGAAAAAAAAAATTATAAATAAGTCCATGAATTCTTTTTCTCAGCTTTTTCTGATAATGATGAGGGTGGTTTATTTTTAATTTTTATGGGCACATAGTAGGTGTATATATTTATGGGGTAGACTGGGTGCGGTGGCTCATACTGCTAATCCCAAGCAAGAACATCGCTTGAAGCCAGGAGTTTGAGACCAGCCTGGGCAAGATGGCGAGACCCCATCTACACTTTATTTTTGTAAAATACAAAAAATATAATAAATACATATTTATGGGGTACATGAGATATTTTGGTGCAGATATATGATGTGTAATAATCATATCAGGGTAAATGGGTTCTTCATTACTTCAGGCACTCATCATTTCTTTATGTTAGAAACATTCCAACTGTACTCCCTCAGTTATTCTAAAATGTACAACAAAAATATTGCCAACTATAGCCACTCTGCTGTGCTGTCAGATACTAGATCTTTTTCACTGTATCTCTATCTCTATGAGTTTGTTTTAATTTTTAGCTGTCACAAATCAGTGAGAACCTTTGAAGTTTTTCTTTCTGTGCCTGGCTTATTTCACTAAACATAATATCTTCCAATTCAATCCATATTGTAAATGACAGGATCTCATTTTTTTTTTTTTTGGATTTATTTTTATCTCATTCTTTTTTATGGTAGAATAGTATCCATCGTGTATATGTACCACGTTTCCTTTATTCATTTGTCTATTGATGGACCATTAGGTTGCTTCCAAATCTTGGCTATTGTGAACAGTACTGAAGTAAACATGGGAGTGCTATCTCTTCAATATATTGATTTCTTTTCTTTTGGGTATACAGCCAGTAGTGGAATTGCTGGTCATATGGTAACTCTGTTTTTAGTATTGTTTGTTTTTTGAGGAACTTCCGTACTGTTCTGCACGGTGGCTGTACTAATTTACATTCTCACCAGCAATGTACAAGGGCTTCCTTTTCGCCACATCCTCTCTAGCATTTGTTATTGCTTGTCTTTTGGATGAAAGCCATTTTAACTGGGGTGAGATAATATCTCATTGTTTTGATTTGATTTGCCATCATAGTTTTGCTTTGCATTTCTCTGATGATCAGTGATGTTGAGCACCTTTTCATGTAACAGTTTGCCATTTGTAGGTCTTTTGAGAAATGTCTGTTCAGATCTTTTGCCCATTCTTAATCAGATTATTAGATTTTTTTTCCCATTGAGTTATTTATGCTCCTTATGTATTCTAGTTATTAATCTGACGAGGGTGGTTTTTATAGCTATATGTCTGTTGGACTTTTTACATCCTCTCCCCATTCTGTCTCCTACCTGTTCTAATATTGTTCAGTGTGTCTTAAAGACAATCATTTATCTTTTGCCTCCCTGAACTGATTTTAACTTTTCTCTTTGTGTTTTTCTCCTTTTCTCATTTTATAATACAATTAAATCTATCTCTTAGTTTTCTCAAATTTTAAAAACACATGAATAAAATATCTTTTACCTAAGGTCAAACACAAATGAGTAGCATAGGCCAGTCATGGTGGCTCACCCCTATCATCCCAACACTGGGAGGAGGTCGAGGCAGCTGGATCGCTTGAGCTCACGAGTTTGAGATCTGCATGGGCAACATGGCAAAACCCTGTCTCTACAAAAAAATTAAAGAATTAGCCAGGCATGGTAGCTACTTGGGGATGCTGAGGTGGGAGGAAGGCTTGAGCCTGGGAGACAGAGGTTGTAGTGGCCAAGATGACACCACTGTGCTCCAGACTGGCCTATAAAGCCAGAATTTGTCTCAAAAAAAAAAAAAAAAAAAAGGCAGCATAGATTGGAAGAATAAGGATAAGGAGGCCAAACTGAGAATGAGAGAAATTAGTGAAAAATGAAAAGGATGGAAAAACCCAGATGCCCTTTATTTTTTCTTTTTAAAAAAGAGATGTTTGGGAAAATTGATGAAAGGGACCGGATAGAGATTAATCTCAGTAAATATCTGGCTGCTGACTTATAAGTTTGTTCCCGTTTTCTCTCTCAATCAGTTAATAGATTAAAGATCAAGGAGCTGTCTGATCTGGCTTCTGGAGTACAGTGGTACAATTTGGGCTCACTGCAACTTCCACCTCCTGGGTTCAGTTGATTCTCATGCCTCAGCCTTCCAGGTAGCTGGGACTACAGGTGTGTGCCACCCCGCCTGGCTAATTTTTGTATTTTTAGTAAAAACAAGGTCTCACCACGTTGGCCAGGCTGGTCTCATACTCTTGGCCTCAAATGATCTGCCCGCCTCAGCCTCCCAAAGTGCTGGGATTACAGGTGTGCCACCTCACCCGGCCCCTTGCTGGCCTCTGTTAACACCACTCTCCTATGTGGCCTTCTCTCTCTAATGTGTCAAGTCCCTTCCCACCACCACCCTCACCTGTACATCCTCCCTCTTCGATGAGGACTCTTACATACCCTTTATACCCTAACTAAGATGTTCCTTCCTGAAGGAAAGTAGGATACAACCCCACCTCATCACCACCCTCACCAAATCTAGGTTAATTATAAGTTGTCATCCATCAGTGTCTTAGGTGAGTTCTTTTAAAAAAGAAACATACTTAGGCTCTGCCTATGCAGTAACTATTCTTTATTCCTTTACTTTCTTTTTCTTTTTTGTTTTCGTTTTTGTTTTTTGAGATGAGTTGAAACTCTTGTTGCCCAGGCTGGATGGAGTACAATGGCATGTTCTCAGCTCACTGCAACCTCTGCCTCCTGGGTTCAAGAGATTCCCCTGCCTCAGCCTCCCGAGTGGCTGGGATTACAGGCATGTGCCACCATGCCTGGCTAATTTTTTGTATTTTTAGTAGAGACAGGGTTTCTCCATGTTGGTCAGGCTGGTCTCAAACTCCCAACCTCAGGTGATCTGCCCACCTCAGCCTCCCAAAGTGCTGGGATTACAGGCATGAGCCACCATGCCCAGCCAGAATTGAAGACATTTTTTAGAAAAAGAATATTTCCCATAATAACATGAAAGAACATTTTAGAAAAATGGTATTTCTCCTATTGCTGTAAAAACTTTGTGGTGTATAATTAATGTTTATAGCTTTTAACTCAGTGTCATTTTAAATTTGTAGTCTTTAGACAGCTTTACATCCAACAGTGGACCATTTCAGTATTACTTGGGTGGTCATTCCAGTCAACCCATGGAAAATTCTGGATTTTGTGAAGATGTTCAAGTACTTCCTGGAAATGGCAACAGTGGGAATATGCAGGTGGTTGCAGTAGAAGGAAAAGGTGAAGTCAAGCATGGAGGAGAAGATGGTAGGAATAGCAGTGGAGCGCCACACCGGGAGAAGCGAGGCGGTGAAAATGACGAATTCTCTAATGTCAGAAGAGGAAGAGGTGTGATTACCTTTTCTTCTTCTCGCACTATCTTTATTAATTTACTTATTTATTTTTGAGAGGGAGTCTAGTGCTCTGTCATCCAGGCTGGAGTGCAGTGGGATTATAGGCACATGCCACTATGCCTGGCTAATTTTTGTATTTTTAGTAGAGATGGGGTTTCGCCATGTTTTCCAGGCTGGTCTTGAACTCCTGACCTCGGGTGATCTGCCTGCCTCAGCCTCCCAAAGTGCTGGGATTACAGGCATGAGCCACTGTTCCTGGCCACACTTTGGAGATTTAGATCTCAAAGAAAAAACAGAGGAAAATGAATAAAACAGTTTCTACTTGCATAAGAATTATTTAATACAAACTTATTTTTGTCTCTTAAAATAGGACATAGGATGCAACACCTGAGTGAAGGAACCAAGGGTCGGCAGGTGGGAAGTGGAGGTGATGGGGAGCGCTGGGGCTCCAACAGAGGGTCCCAAGGCAGCCTCAATGAGCAGATCGCCCTGGTGCTGATGAGACTGCAGGAGGACATGCAGAATGTCCTTCAGAGACTGCAGAAACTGGAAACACTGACTGCTTCACAGGTAAACTTTCAAATGTGTCATACCTTCTTCTACTTACTGATTCTGGAAAGCAATGTGGAATCTGTGTTGAACATATTTACATAAATTAATGTATTTTGGTAAAAATAAAAAGAACTTAGTTTTGAAAATATTGTTTAAGAAAAGACTGACCCAAAAACTAATTACTGCTTAAAATAATAGAGAAATAGCTGGGCCTGGTGGCTCCTGCCCGTACTCTCAGCACTTTGGGAGGCTGAGGCAGATGGATCACCTGAGGTTAGGAGTTCAAGACCAGCCTGGCCAACATGGCGAAACCCTATCTCTACTAAAAATACAAAAATTATCCAGGCATGATGGTGGGTGCCTGTAATCTCAGCTTCTCGGGAGGCTGAGGTGGAAAACTCACTTGAACCCGGGATGTGGAGGTTGCAGTGAGCTGAGATTGTGCCATTGCACTCCAGCCTGGGTGATAGAGTGAGACTCTGTCTCAAAAGAAAAAGAAAAATGGCTGGGCGAGGTACCTTATGCCTGTAATTCCAACACTTTGGGAGGCTGAGGTAGGTGGATCACTTGAGGGCAGGAGTTAAGACCAGACTGGCCAACATGGTGAAAATCTGTCTCTACTAGAAATAAAAAAAATTAGTCAGGTGAAGTGTTGCATGCCTATAATCCCAGCTACTTGGGAGGCTGAGGCAGGAGAATCGCTTGGACCTAGGAAGCAGAGGTTGCAGTGAGCTGAGATCGTGCTACTGCACTCCAGCATGGGTGACAGAATGAGATTCTGTCTCTAAATAAATAAATAAATAAATGAAGGGAAAAGGTTCATAGGAAGAGACACTTCAGTTTGATTTATAGTTTTGACTGTGGCCTGTAATAATCCCTGGACTCACCTCTCCTTGAGTAACGTTTGTTGAAGAGAATAAAGAGGTAATTAGCCTTGACTGTCTGACCTAGCTGCAAACATTATACAACATTGAAGCATCATGCTGTAAGAGTTGTTAAGAAGTATTTGTAGGGATTAATCAAAGAAGATATGCTTCCATTACAAGATAAATACATTAAATGTAGACTCATGTAAAGAAACTGATACTGCAGGCTTCCCTAAACAACCACTGGAAATATCTTTCTCTTTACCTAATCAGTAAGTTACTCAAGTTATTACATGTTTTTTAAAATTATATGTATCCCCAGTATTCTCAGTTACATATTATTGTTAATCAGATTGCAAATTCCTAGACTTCCAGGAGTCTACAAACACCCTAAAATACTGTGCACATTTGTCTTTGATTTTGCATTTTTGATGGGAGAGGATTTATTGTCTTCATGAGATCCTCAAGAGGGTCTATAAGGAAAAAGAGTTTAAAATAGTGCCTTGTGACCAGGCACAGTGACTCACACCTATAATTTCAGCACTTTGGGAGGCTGAGGTGAGTGGATCACTTGAGGCCAGGAGTTTGAGACCAGCCTGGCCAACATGATGGAACCCCGTCTCTACTAAAAGTACAAAAATTAGCCGGGCGTGGTGGTGCATGCCTGTAATCCCAGCTATCTGGGAGGCTGAGGCATGAGAATCACCTGAACCAAGGAGGCGGAAGTTTCAGTGAGCCCAGATCATGCCATTGCACTTGGCTCACTGCAACCTCCACCTCCTGGGACCATGTCATCCTCGCACCTCAACGTCCCAAGTAGCTGGAACCACAGGTGCATACCACCACGTCTAGCTAATTTTTGTATTTTTTGTAGAGACAGAGTTTTCCATGTTGCCCAGGCTGGTCTCAAACTCCTGAGCTCAAATGATCAGCCCACCTCAGCCTCCCAAAGTGCTTGGGACTACAGGCATGAACCACTGTGCCTGGAATGTTCTAAGTTTTTTTTCCTAAGAATATTTTACATATATTCAATATCTTTAGTGGTATTGAAATTCTGCTGAAATTCTTTTGACATATTTTCTTAGACATTTACTTTTTCACCGTTATATAAAACTTTAGGCTAGGCCCATGGCTCATACCTGTAATCTCAGCACATTGGGAGGTCAAGGCAATACCTGTGGCTAGGAGTTCAAGACCAGCCTGGGCAACATAGCAAGACCTTATGTCTACAAAAAAGTAAAATTAAAATAGCCAGGCTTGATGGTCGGCCCACCTACTGAGAAGGCTGAGGCAGGATGACCACTTGAACCCAGAAGTTGAAGGCTGCGGTAAGCCATGATCTCTGTAGCCTGGGCAACAGAGCAAGACCTCATCTCTACAAAAATACAATACAATAATAAAATAAAGTTGAAAAGATTTTGATTTAGGACTTTTTTTCCTTAAAATTTGCATAATTCACTTGGATGTTTCATAGAAGAAATAAATTGGGCCAGGCACAGTGACTCATGCCTGTAATGTCAACGCTTTGGGAGGCTGAGGTGGATGGATCACCTGAGGTCGAGAGTTCGAGACCAAACTGGCCAACATGATAAAACCCCGCCTCTACTACCAAAAATACAAAAATTAGCTGGGTGTGGTGGCACATGTCTGTAATCCCAGCTACTCATGAGGCGGGGATTGCAGTGAGCTGAAATCATGTCTCAAAAAGAAAAGTTGCTTGGATAATACTGAAAGGTCAAATTGTGCAAAGAAAAAGAAAAGAAAAGTCGCTCCTCACAATTACAGGCTCACACCTGTAATCCCACCACTTTGGGGGGCTGAGGCAGGCTGATTACCTGAGGTTAGGAGTTTGAGACCAGCCTGACTAACATGATGAAACCCTGTCTCTACTAAATACAAAAACAGATTCGCCAAGTGTGGTGGTGCATGCCTGTAATCCTAGTTACTTGGGAGGCTGAGGCAGGAGAATTGCTAGAACCTGGGAGGCAGAGGTTGCAGTGAGCCGAGATTGCACCATTATACTCCAGCCTAGACAACAAGAGTGAAACTCCATCTCAAAGAAAAAAAAAAAAGAAAAGTCAAGTAGGTAATGTAATAAGACTGTAAAGCACATAAGAGTTTAGATGGATTTGAGGTTTTATTTTGATAATTTTATATAACTGGAGCTAAAAATACAAAGCATCAAAGTATTGTTTGGCTTGCAGTTTTAGGAAACTTATGCTTTGGTAAGTATTAGTTTCAGGATAATCGAAGTATAGTTTGCAGAAGAATACTGAATAAACTAATAGTTCTACGTGCCAACCGTTCTATACATAAAGAAAACAAAAACAACCCCCAACACCTCAAAATCGCTGCCTTTTTATAAAAGATAGGAAATAGAAAAATTACTGTGCTTTTATTTTTTCAAGGCTAAGTCACTGTCATTTGCATTGACAGGCAAAATCATCAACATCAACACTGCAGACTACTAGGCAGCCCACCTCACAGGTAAGACAGTTTTTAAAAAATTTAAATGCCAGGATTTCATATGTTGCAATACATTTAGAACATACAAAATCTTTAAATCATCTTAAATGAAATCTACCTTTGAAGTTAAAAAATTCTTGTTTCGCGTTTATTTAAGTCCGAACTACTCTTGAAAGCCCGCTTCCTGAATTATACTCTGAAATGCAGAGTATCTTCCTCCCTTCAGCAGGAGTGAGATTTGTTTCGAATTTTCTACTTTGAAAATTATGAATTAGTTATGTTTTTAAGTTTATACATGCAGTATTGAAGAGATTGGTGACGAGCTTGTTGTGTTTTCTCAGAGACCATCTTGGTGGCCCTTTGAGATGTCCCCTGGCGTGTTAACTTTTGCCATCATATGGCCTTTTATTGCACAGTGGTTAGTGTATTTATACTATCAAAGAAGGAGAAGGTAAGACCAGTTTTATCATTTGAAATGGTGTGTAACTCTCATAACCTGTAGTAGACCGAGCTTTCAGTAGCAATTAAGGGGATAATAGGTCCATTTTATGGATACATTGTCATAGTGAACATTCTGTATTCATCCTGAGATGGAAACTCCCTTGGAAATGATATCTTGTGTATTCCTAGGTACTTGTTAGACTTAAAAACATTTTCACTTGAGAGCATCTGATGGATTTATACACTTTTGAGTTAGGCAACAACACAAAAGTGACTACACACTTCTCTCTTTTTTTTTTTTTTCAGACTGGGGTCTCATTTTGTTGCCCAGGCTGGAGGGCAGTGGTTGTTGACAGGCATGATCATGTGCACTGAAGCCTCAGACTCCTTGGTTCAAGTGATCCTTTCCATCTCAGCCTCCTGAGTGTCTGAGACTACAGGCATATACCAATTAAAGGCACAGTGGCTCACACCTATAATCCCAGCATGTTGGGGAGGGCAAGGTAGGAGGATTGCTTGAGCAAAGGAGTTTGAAACCAGCCTGGGCACCATAGGGAGATGCTGTCTCTATTTTAAAAAATTAATCAAAAAGGAATTTGGAGGTAACTTAATTTTTAAAATTTATTTTATTTATGTATTTTATTGTTATTTTTTTTCGAGATGGAGTCTCGCTCTGTCACCAGGCTAGAGTGCAGTGGCATGATCTTGGATCACTGCAACCTCCATCTCCCAGGTTCAAGTGATTCTCTTGCCTCAGCCCCCTGAGTAGCTGGGATGACAGGCATGTGCCACCATGCCTGGCTAATTTTTGTATTTTTAGTTGGCTAGACTGGTCTCAAACTCCTGACCTCAGGTGATCCACCTGCTTCAGCCTCCCAAAGAGCTGGGACTACAGGCACAACCAACAGTGCCTGGCTGGAGGTTACTTTGAGGGCCAGAATTCCAGTTTGGGATGACAAGATCTTTCAAATAGGTCAGAGGATAATAGATTGGAATCCCTGAAAGTAACCCTGAGTCTGTCCATGCTAGGAATAACCTGAGGCCAAATTCTTGGGTTCAAAAAATCCTTAAATCTAAAAAGTTGCCAGGTGTGGTGGCTCCTGTCTATAATCCCGGGACTTTGGGAAGCTGAGGTGGGTGGATTGCTTGAGTCCAGGAATTCAAGAACAGCCTTGGAAGAAAGTCAGACTCTGTCTCTACAAAAAATTTAAAAAACTAAATAAAAAAATTAGCTGGGTTGGTGGTGCACACCTGTAGTCCCAGCTACTTGGGAGGCTGAGGTAGGAGGGTCACTTGAGCCCAGGAGGTTGAGTCTGCCGTGAGTCATGATCATGCCACTGTACCCCAGCCTGGGTAATGGAGTGAGACTGTCTCAAAAAAAAAAAAAGAAAAAATACAGACCTGATTTTAAATCCTTTTTTTTCTTCTTCTACACATTTTTAATTCCTCCTGTGGGTTTAGTGCTGTCCAGTGTTTTACATTTGAATATCCCTGGTGATAGGAAAGAAGAAGCAAGCCTTTGTTAGATATGTAGTAACGCTGGATATAAGCAGCAGGGCTTAGTGCCACGAAGGGTAGATGTTTACATATTTGTAATGCATTTCAAAGTTCCTTTTCATGTTTCCTTTGTAGAAAGTTGGGAGTTTGAGAGTAGAGGAATTTGCTTAAAAAAAAAAAAAAACTAAAGCTTACTTTGGTTAATTTATTTTATGCTTAAGATGGAACCAGCTTATTACTTTATAAAACATTGAAAAAACAAACGATACTCTGCTTCAACAGTCACAGAAAATTAGAGTTTTTCTAAAAATTTTTTAAATGTTCCTTACTATTAGAATTTTGTAAAAGCTTGTTCGCTATTTCTCCTAAGTATCCCTTTTAGTTGTTCGCGGATGTCTCTGAATGGAGAAACTCTTATTTTTAATTTTCTACTTGGTTATTATTGAACCTTTGTAAGTTTCTTACTGCATGTTAACTGTTTGATTCTTCCAAATTGCAAATTATTACCACTGTGCAGCTTCGTTTTGACAAGGCATAGTGTTTTTACCCGTGTTGTTTGCTTATATACGTAATAGATGAACTGAGGTTGGAGGTAGGGCCGTATTTGATATGGAAATAAGTTTTAGCCCTGAGGAGATTTAGGCATCTTTTAATCTCACATTGTTTAGCAATTTGTAATCTGATAGTTAAAGGAATGAAGACTAGAGAGCAGTTGTATGGTTTGAAAGAGACAAATTCTGTGTTAGAGTTGAAGAGAAAGGTCTAGAAATCTGATTAGAATGGGGAAAGTGTGGGCAAGTAGAGGGTGTGTCCTACTTATAATGGGGATCATCCTGTAGCTCATCCCCCAAAACAGTGTCTGGCATGTAGTAGGTGCTCAATAAATGTGTGTTGAGTCTATAACTGCATCCCTCTTTGGGCAAGATGGCAAATGGAAGTTTTCATTTTATTGAGTAAATATGTACATGGACACAGACATACTAGGATATGTGTGATAGAGATAGGATAGTCCTATATGTTTTACATATGTATAGGACATATAGGAATATATACATATAGGACTATATATATATAGGAGGCTGGTGTGCAGTGGCGCAAAATTGGCTCACTGCAGCCTTCACCTCTTGGGTTCAAGTGATCTTCCTGCCTCAGCCTCCTGAGTAGCTGGGACTACAGATATGCTCCACCACGCCCAGCTAATTTTTGTATTTTTAGTAGAGAGAGGGTTTCACCATATTGACCAGACTGGTCTTGAACTCCTGATCTCAGGTGATCCAGCTACCTTGGCTTTCCAAAGTGCTGGGATTCTAGGCATGATCCAGCCTGGGATATGCTTTTGAAAACAAATATCTTTTCCTTTAACATTAAAAGTAATACACAGAGTCTACTGTTTAATTTTTTTCTAGTGTAGAATAATATAAATTTAAAAGTAAAAGAGATTTCTTAAGCTGTCACTCTGCAATGGATCAGAAAAACATTCTGTATGTGATAGGAGGAGCAAAACCTGCAGACTTCTTGTTCAGAAAAAGGTCCTGAAGCGTCTCCTGTGGTAACACCCGTCCCTGGTTGTCCAGCCTGACAACTCTGCTATTAAAATTATCCTTGAGTCAAATACTGAAAGCAGACTTGTTAAATCCAAGAGATTAAACTATTACTTTATTACTCTATTTATTTATTTGAGACAAGGTGTCACCGTCTTGCCTGGGCTGTAATGTAGTGGTACAGTCATAGGTCATTGCAGCCTCAAACTGCTAGACTCAAGCAATCCTCCTGCCTTAGCCTCCTGAGTAGCTGGGACTGTAGGCAGATGTCAACTAATTTTCTTATTTTTTTGTTGTAATAAGGTCTCACTCTATTGCACAGGCTAGTCTCAAACTCCTGCCCTCAAGAGATCCTCCTACCTCAGCCTCTCTTGTACTAGGATTACAGGCCTGAGCCACCATGCCCGGCCTAAATTATTACTGTTACAAGAAAGGGATCCCAATCCAGACCCCAAGAGAGGGCTCTTGAATCTTGCACAAGAAAAAATTCAAGGCGAGTCCATAAAGTGAAAGCAAGTTTATTAAGAAAATAGAGGAATAGAAGAATGGTTACTCCATAGACAGAGCAGCCCCAAGGGCTGCTGGTTGCCCATTTTTATGGATATTTCTTGACGATATGCTAAACAAGGGATGGGCCACTCATGCCTCCCCAGCCTCTTTTTTTTTTTTTGAGATGGGTCTTGCTCTGTCACCAGGCTGGAGTGCAGTGGCTCAATCTTGGCTCACTGCAACCTCTGCCTCCTGGGTTCAGGCAGTTCTCCTGCCTCAGCCTCCAGAGAAGCTGGGACCACAGGTGTGTGCCACCACGCCCAGCTAATTTTTTTTTTTGTATTTTTAGTAGAGATGGGGTTTCACCGTGTTGGCCAGGATGGTCTCCATCTCTTGACCTTGTGATCTGCCCGCCTCGGCCTCCCAAAGTGCTGGGATTACAGGCGTGAGCCACCGCGCCTGGCCATGCCTCCCCTTTTTAGACCTTGTAGGGTAACTTCCTCACGTTGCCATGGCATTTGTAAACTGTCATGGCGCTGGTGGGAATGTAGCAGTGAGGATGACCAGAGGTCACTCTCATCGCCATCTTGGCTTTGGTGGATTCTGTCCGGCTTCTTTCCTCAACCTGTTTTCTTAGGAAAGTCTTTATGACCTGGATCTTGTGCTGACCTCCTATCTCATCCTGTGACTTAGAATGCCTTAACTGTCTGGACGTGCAGCCCAATAGGTCTCAGCCTCATTTTAACTAGCTCCTATTCAAGATGGAGTTGCTCTGGTTCACACACCTCTGACATTACTTTGAAGGAAGGGACATTTCTAACCAGTTTTCTTAAGCAGCCTGCCCAGATTCCTAAATTTGCTATCATGTACTTTTCTTGGGGACACTCAGCCTTCAGTAGAGAGGTAATAAATACAAACTGATTGGGAGTGGGGAGGGTCTCAGGAGGAACATTCTCCAAATGGAGCCTGAGGCAGAAGGCACTGACACAAAAAGTCAGGGCCGGGCTTCTGAGGAGGAGAAGGAATTGCAGCAGTGCAGTTAGAGCAGGATTCACCGTGGTGAGGGGGGAGGCAGAATTTATTTCTGTTCCCTTATCTGTTTCCTATGCTTTTCTTCTATCACTGCATTTTGCAAGTTGATTTAAAACAAAACCAAACAGAAAGATCTCACTAACAGCCCAAAAACAATTCTAAAGTTCTGAAGACAGTGATTTATGTTCATTCTATTACATTAGAAGATTGGGGGGAGGCTGAGGCGGTGGGTGTCGGGTCAGGTCTCACTAGCGCAGGCCTCCATAACATCTGTTTCAGTACTGACTTAGTGGTTAAGTTAAATGTTAAAGGCCAGCGCCCTTATTCAAAGGCTGGAATGTAACAAAAGCCCACCCAGTGTTTTGCCTAGACCTTTCCTGGGCCTTAAAGCATGACAAAATAAGTAAGGAATTCTTAACAGGACCCATTTGGTATTAAACAAGTTTTACTGTGGGTCTGAGGAAACTCCCCAGGCCTCCACAAACCAGTTTATTGGGGTCTGAAGGAGCTCCCTAGACCTCTGTGATTTAGTAGGGAGGCAAGATAACGGTAATCACCCCAGCACCTGGACCCATTTAGATTAAGTAAATTTACTGAGGCTCCAGAGGAAGTTCTTCAGGACTTAGACCTTGGTTATAGATTAAAATAAGGTAATCGCTATGTCTTTAGATGAATGCACACTTACATGTAGACATATAAGCTCTAGAAAACTGTAATTTTGAGTTGGTCTGGCGATAATTTCCAGGCCTTCTCCCTGTAATTGGCTGGCAGAAATAAAAACTCTCTTCTCCCCGGTTCATCTGCATCTCATTATTGGGCCCTTAGAAATAGCAGCCTGACCCTCACTTTGGTCCAGTAACAAGTTAAGGTCAGGAGTTCGAGACCAGCCTGGGTGAAACGCCATCTCTACTAAAAATACAAAAATTTTCCAGGTGTGGTGGTAGGCGCCTGTAATCCCAGCTACTTGGGAGGCTGAGGCTATAGGAGAATAACTTGAATCCGGGAGTTGGATGTTGCAGTGAGCCGAGATCGCGCCACTGCACGCCAGCCTGGGCGACAGAGCGAGACTCCCATCTCAAAAATTAAGAAGATTGGGGGTTCAGAGACCAAGTTATCTGCCCTTTTATAAATCTGCAAAGGATTGTGTGTAGTAATCTGCATCACACAGATTCCTGATCAGTATCGCTAACTGTTCAGGCACCTGCAGCTAACATTCTTGCTAAAACCTCACTTAGGCTGTTTGTCTTTACAGCCACCCACATCTGTTTTGTCTTAGTCAAGCATTTCAATTCTCTTCCTCCAGACCTGTTTTCTTCCTGCTGCGGGGAGCTCCTTCTGTTAGTGAAAGTTGATCTGACTATTTAAAATGTCATTCCTGCCAAGGAGATGTACATAAGAAGATTTCTGTAGAGGATAAGGAATGATCTGATTATTTAAAATATCACTCCTGCCAAAGGAGTTGCATAAGAGTATTTCTACAGAGAGGATTCAATCTGTTATGAGAGTTTCAGTCATTTTGGCATCTTGAGTGCTGGGGAGGGTTTGTAGATTTTAGAGCAGAACTCAGATCATATGTGATTGTGTGTCTTGTGCTAACAAGCCCACCCTTTTCTAATAGCTCATTCACTCTTCCATCTTCGAAACCATCACATTGCATATATGCAAGTTTGAGGTTCATATGTCTCTTCAGAGCCTGCCTCATTTATCCTTGAATCCCCAGGGCCTGGCACAGAGCCTGGAAACTAATGGAAACATAATCTGTGTTGATTAAATGAATAGTCCAGGTTGTACATCTGTTACCCTCTTACAGTTTTGTTAAGCATTTGTTTCTATTTTGTTAAGCTTTTCTATTTTGATAAAATTATGAAATTATTTCCACAAGTCTTAATCGTATAATAGCCAACTAGAAAAGGATAAGAATCTAGAAGAGAGGAGAAATGTACATTTAGATTATTTATTAAAAACTGGGGGCCGGGCACGGTGGCTCATGCCTGTAATCCCAGCACTTTGGGAGGCTGAGGTGGGTGGATCACGAGGTCAAGAGATCGAGACCATCCTGGTCAACATGGTGAAACCCCGTCTCCACTAAAAATACAAAAAATTAGCTGGGCACGGTGGCGCGTGCCTGTAATCCCAGCTGCTCAGGAGGCTGAGGCAGGAGAATTGCCTGAACCCAGGAGACGGAGGTTGCGGTGAGCCGAGATCGCACCATTGCACTCCAGCCTGGGTAACAAGAGTGAAACTCCGCCTCAAAAAAAAAAACAAAAACAAAAACTGGGGTTGGGCACAGTGGCTCACGCCTGTAATCCCAGCACTTTGGGAGTCTCAGGCGGGTGGATTGCCTGAGGTCAGGAGTTCAAGACCAGCCTGGCCAATGTGGTGAAACCCTGTCTTTACTAAAAATGCGGAAAAAAAAAAAATTAGCTGGGCGTGGTGGCGCATGTCTGTAATCCCAAGTTACTCGAAAGGCTGAGGTAAGAGAATTGCTTGAACCTGGGAGGCGGAGGTTGCAGTGAGCCGAGATCACGCCACTGCACTCTAGCCTGGGCAACAGAGTGAGACTCCATCTGAAAAATAAAAATAAAATAAAAAAATTGGCCGGGATGGCTGGGCGTGGTGGCTCGCACCTGTAATCTCAGCACTTTTGGGGGCTGAGGTGGGTGGATCACCTGAGGTCAGGAGTTCACGACCAGTCTGGCCAACATGGCAAAACCTTGTCTCTACTAAAAATACAAAAATTAGCCGAGTGTAGTAGCACGTGCCTGTAATGCCAGCTACTCAAGAGGCTGAGGCAGGAGAATCACTTGAACCTGGGAGGTGGAGGTTGCAGTGAGCCGAGATGGTGCCATTATACTCTATCCTGGGCGACAGAGTAAGACTTTGACTCAATAAATAAATAAATAAGTGTTTTTAAACTGTTTGGTAATTTAAGCACTTGTAATTGGATCTTTCCTATCAGACTGTAAATCATATGTAGTTTATAAAGACTATTGGTAATTTTATGGTTTTATTTTAAATTTGAATGTTATTATGTTTACGTTATTATTATGTTACCATCCAGAGAATTATTTGCATTTATACTCACAGGAAAATGGTTTTTATTTTCTTTTTAAAGAAAACTGAACTGAGGAAAATGGTATTTTCCTCAAGAAGACTACTGGAACTGGATGACCTCAGAATGAGCTGGATTGTGGTGTTCACAAGAAAATCTCAGTTTGTGATGATTACATTGCTTTTTGTTGTCTAGTAGTTTGGTTTGTGTACATATATACACATACATATTTTGCACTACACAAATGATAACATTTTAAGGACTAATATTGCTGATACTTGAATAATCAATCTCTATTAGGTTATAAATAGCATACATAAGTTCACCCTGTCCTTGAACTTGAAGGACATTAATATCATTTGGTAACATGTTTACCTGATTATCTTCCATAGAGTAATATAAGCTGCTTTCAAAGGTACCAGTGTGATAATGAGATCAGATTTATAAATGAGTATTTTTAGTTTTCTAAATTAAATGCAAGAAAGAATGCAAACCAGGAGTGAATTTCAAATGAGATGTAATTGACTTATTTCTTAGTCACTGAGTTGCCATGCCACGTAATAGAAAACCACAGGAAGAATTGTTATATTCACTTCGTGGGCTGCCCATAATCTTCCCTGGGCGTTCACAACTCTTGAGTTTGGTGTTCAGGCATCATTATTAAAAAGTGGAGTCGTATGTACCAGGCTTAGTTTTTATAAATGATTTGTAGACTAGACATAACCCGCTGATTGAAATGATGAAGAAGGAGCTTCATGTAGGTTTAAAAGTGTATTCTGAGCCTATAGATGATTAGTAAGATTTTTATTCAACCATATACATTTATTCCTTTGTAATCATTTTTCTTTAAGGATACCTAGTGTCTGCTTCATAGGGTGCTTTGAAATATAAAATGAAAACTTATTTATACTGTTTTTACAGCAGTCAAAAAGGAAACACATGAAAATCACTTTTCTGCAACTGGTAAACTATACAGACTGGACTCTTAACCTCTTAGTGCCTGAGTTTTTCCTTCGGGGTATACTATTTTAGATACACCTACTTCACAGGGGCATTGGAGGGATTTGCAAGCTAAGAGGCCAAATGCTTCCATAGGAATAAGGCATGCCCAGCTAACAGAAACTTAAGTCCTTCTTCCCCACCTCTCTCATCTAGACCAAAAAGAAGACTGTAATTTAGATCTTTGAAGGCTTTTCCTGTATGCCTTCCAAAACTTCCTGCTCACTTAGATGTACCTTGTGCTTTGAAGATTTCTTTGATTCAGTCTTTGTAGCAAATAATTTTTTTTTTTTTGAGATAGAGTTTTGGTCTTGTTGCCTAGGCTGGAGTGCAGTGGCATGATCTCAGCTCACAGCAACCTCCACCTCCCAGGTTCCAGCGATTCTCCTGCCTCAGCCTTCCAAGTAGCTGGGATTACAGGCATGCACCACCACGCCTGGCTAAATTTGTATTTTTAGTAGAGATGGGGTTTCTCCATGTTGGTCAGGCTGGTATTTAACTCCTGACATCAGGTGATCGCCTTCCTCGGCCTCCCAAAGTGCTGGGATTATAGGCGTGAGCCACTGTGACCAGCCTGTGGCAAATACTTTTTAAGCATTCTCAAGATGTATGATGTTGGGTTTAGCATCATGTGTTCTGAGTGTTTTAAATAAGAGAGAAAGAATTAATCTGTCTTTAGTATACAGGGTGGTTGTTTGCCTGAAAAGTATAAGAATACAATTTACTTTTCCCAAACTCTTTTTTTTCTTTCAAGTAACTTTATGTTTTTATTCTTTAATCCTATACTGATTAAAATGTCTGTCTAAAGGGATCTACTACTATTTGCTTTTAAAAAATTGTTCCCTATTTATTTGTGAAAAAAAATGAAGCAAGCAACTGAATTTATATGTAAAAATAACGTTTAGACCTGTGGATCAGAAATTATTTACTTTTTTTTTTGAGACGGAGTTTTGCTGTTGTTGCCCAGGCTGGAGTGCAGTGGTGCAATCTTGGCTCACCCCAACCTCCACCTCCCAGTTTCAAGTGATTCTCCTGCCTCAGCCTCCCGAGTAACTGGGATTACAGGCATGCACCACCACATTAGGCTAATGTTGTATTTTTAGTAGAGATGGAGTTTCTCCATGTTGGTCAGGCTGGTCTCGAACCCCTGACCTCAGGTGATCCACCGCCTTGGCCTCCCAAAGTGCTGGGATTACAAGCATGAGCCACCATGCCCGGCCTCAAATATTATTTTTAAAAATTAGATATCAATTTGGTATCAGAAAAAAAGTGGTTTTTCTCTTAGTATATAAATAAATAAAATGCAAATTAGGAGTATAAGCAGTTGTGAATCATTACAAGCAGTCGGGGATAACTAACTCCTAGGGATAACCATTTGTATCCTGTTCCAAAGTCTTATTTTATAGTTTGAAAAGCACTTTGCACACAGTTCTTGTATATAAAAGTAAAGATGTAATTATAGGATATAGTGTTCCTGCTTTGTTTAATAAGAACCTCATTTAAACTGGACAGCTATGGTATTTTTTTAATGATCAACTTCTTTTCTGTTTATTGTAAAACTAAGTTAAAAATAAAAGGTTAATGAGAAATGATATGGCTTTTATTACTTGTTACTGTTAGCACATTGATTAGGTAAGAATTCAATGAGAATAAGTAGTGGTCACACATAAAGTAATTGTGACTCTCAAAGCCAAGCTATTCCATATAATTTGATAAAATTCAGAAACTGGGATGAAATTTAATTTATTTGGTCATCTTGTTGAGAATACTAGCAATCCAGTCAAATTCTTGGTTTCAGTTATTATCCCAAGTAACTGGCTACCCACAGCCACACAGTGAACCCTCATCAACCATCTTATTATTTGAGACAGTCTCGCTCTGTCGCCTAGGCTGAAGTGCAGTAGTACGATCTCAGCTTCCTGCAAACTCTGCTTCTCAGGTTCCAGTGATTCTCCTGCCTCAGGATTACAGGCGCCTGACAGCACACCCAGCTAATTTTTTGTGTTTTTCGTAGAGACGGGGTTTCGACATGTTGGCCAGGCTGATCTCAAACTCCTGACCTCAGGTGATCCACCCACCTCTGCCTCCCAAAGTGCTGCGATTACAGACGTGAGCCATCACCACCAGCCCTAATCAACCATCTTAAATACACATGTCTGGCCTTATGTGGAAAATTGTGAGAGGGTTTCATGTTTTTAATACCCATCTATGACTTGTAACTTCTACAGAAACTGGTAAAAGTGATGTTAACTACTTGTATCATTTAAGGTATCAGTATTCTGCTGCATATAATAGAAACCCAACTGCCAAGTGACTGGGTCTTTTCCTTTGATATAAATGTGGAGGTAGAAGACAGGGGCCAGGAAGGTGCTTCCACAACACCATTAGGTAGACAGGCTCCTCCTGTCTTTCTTTCTCCCATCTTTAGTGTGTAGCTTTTGTCTTCATGCTTGCAAGATACAGAAGTACATCTAGATCTAATGTCTGTGTAATAGGCGGGCACAGAGTGAAACGCAGAAGGCAATTCCGGGTTGTATTTTTCCATCTGATTAGGAAACAGTAACTTTTTTGAAAGTCCCACACAGGAGACTCTTCACGTCTCTGGCTAGAACTGGCTCTCATAGTTATATTTTTGCCTACAAAATTATTTAATCACTTCTCAGTCTTTTGGCTAAGATCAAGTGTAGTATGATTTCTTATCAGTATAATATCTTTTTTTTGAGTCTTGCTCTGTTGCCCAGGCTGGAGTGCAGCAGCGTGATCTCAGCTCACTGCAACCTCCACCTCCTAGGTTCAAGCAATTCTTGTGCCTCAGCCTTCCAAGTAACTGAGATTACAGGTGCCTGCCACCATGCCCAGCTAATTTTTTGTAATGTTGGTAGTGATGAGGATTCTCCATCTTGGCCAGTCTGGGTCTCAAACTCCTGACCTCAGGTGATCCACCCACCTTTGCCTCCCAAAGTGTTGGGATTACAGGCATAAGCCACTGCATCTGGCTATGGACTTTATTTTTTTAGAATTGTTTTAGGTTTACAACAAAATCAAGTGGAAAGTACAGAGTTCCCATATCCCACCCTCCTCTGCCCTGGCCCCACCTGCACAACCTCTTCCACCATCAGCATCTGGTGGAGTGGTACATTTGTTACATCTGATGAACCAACCTGGATGTATCATTACCATGGGCCTCATTCTTAGTGTACATTCTATGGTGGATATATATTTTAAATTTGTTTGGATACATATTTAAATTTAAAATACGTATCCATCATTATATCATACAGAGTAGTTTCGCTGCCCTAAACAATCCTCTGTATGCTACCTATTCATCCTTCCCTGCTAATTTCTGGCAACCACAGATTTTTTACTGTCTCTATAGTTGTACCTTTCTATAGTGGCATATATTTGGAATCATACAGTGTGTCACCTTGTCAGACTGGCTTCCTCCAGTTAGTAATATGCACTTAAGGTTCATCTATGTCTTTTCATGGTAGTTCATTTCTTTTTAGTGCTGAATAATATCCTATTGTATAGATGTGCCACGGTTTATTCATTCACCTATTGAAGGAAGAGTATAAAAGAATTTGCAGGCCAGGTACAGTGGCTCACACCTGTAATCCCAGCACTTTGGGAGGCCAAGGCAGGTGGATGACCTGAGGTCAGAGTTCGAGACCAGCCTGACCAACATGGAGAAACCCCATCTCTACTAAAAATACAAAATTAGCCGGGCATGCTAGTGCATGCCTGTACTCCCAGCTACATTGGAGGCTGAGACAGGAGAATTGCTTGAACCCAGGAGGCAGAAGTTGCGGTGAGCCGAGATGGCACCACTGCACTCCAGTCTGGGCAACAAGAGCAAAACACCATCTCAAAAAAAAAAAAAAAGAATCTGCAGACATACCATTTTTTATTTGGAGGTATCTAACTGTTTCTTGAATTCTTTGTGTGTCTAACAAATATCTCAAACTTAGTATGTTTACCCATTCTGTCCCTCATTCCAGTTCAGGATGTAGCACCACAATCGACCCACCTGTTCAAGCCAGAAGTTAGGTGTCAACTTAACTCCTCCTTTCTCTCACCTGCCTCATCCCATATATCAGTAAAGTCCTGTTGCTTCTACCTCTAAAATAGGTCTCGAATCCAGATGGATTGGTGGCTGAATTTCAGGTGACTATAGCTGCACATGCGAGGTCTCTTAATAGTAAACAGTATTTGTAACTTTCCACTGAAGGCCATTGTCTTCTGCATTGGAAATAGGCTCACAGAACATTTCCGCAATTTTTCAGTAATGTTTCAAGTCCCTTTTAAGGTTAATATCCTGGGTAGCCACTAAATTGGCTTGTTCCTTAATCTACTCTGTTGATTTCAACTATCCAAAGGAATCACTATTAATCCTGAACATACAGTGAGTCATCAATAGCTCAGTTTAACCTACTCTCTGTGTCAGAGCAACAATTTCAACAATTTGTGTTTGATTCCAAAACTTTTTTCTTTCTATTACTAGCAATTACCGTGAAAGGATAATTGATAGTTCTATTCTTTTTCCAAATTAAAGGGAAAGATGTAATTCACATTAAATGAAGTTTTTAATGGCTGTATTTTGAACATTTTGTTAGAAGTGACCATTAAATCTAAGTTGTTATTACTAAACCAAGATCAGTAAAACCATTAACCCATGGATTCAGTTATATAGCACTAATTATAATGGTGTATCTTTCACTGTAACTGTTTTAATTTGTACATTTTGTCAACTGCATTTAACAGGGCTCTTTATTGGGATGGTAATGGAAACTATAAACACTAAACCCAATGTGCAAAAGGAACAAGTTTTTTTCTTTCCCCCTAGAGAGGGGTCTCGCTTTGTTAAAAGGAATGATGTTGACAGATTAATATACTTGTGATAGTTATATTTATTAAGAAAAACACAATTATTTTTTGTTAAGGATCAATCTGTTTCTGATAATGTTGCATGTTTTAAATAAATGACAATAAGATATAAAGCATCACATTTTCTATTAAAATTGAACAAGCTATTCAAAGTGCTATATTATATTACACCTAATCGTTCCAGTACTGTTTTATTTTGAGACCAAGTCTCATTCTGTTGCCCAGGCTGGAGTGCAGTGGTGTGATCTCAGCTCACTGCAACCTCCGCCTCCTGGGTTCAAGTGATTCTTGTGCCTCAGCCTCCTGAGTAGCTGGCACTACAGGCGTACATCACCATACCTGACTAACTTTTGTAGTTTTAGTAAAGACAGGGTTTTGCCATGTTAGCCAGGCTGGTTTCAAACTCCTGGTCTCAAGCGATTAGCCTGCCTCAGCCTCCCAAAGTGCTGGGATTACAGGCGTGAGCCACAATGCCCAGCCTCCAATATTATTTTAAATAAATACATATTGTGGAGCAAGGACCAATAGAAATCAAGGCGGCAAAACTGTATCATTAGTAAAGTAAGCAAAAGCCTTCGTCTTTTTGATTATTCCTTGTTCCCCAAAGCAGTAACTAAGTGAAGGAATTTTCCAGCTGCATTTCTTAGGTCACAAGTATGGCCTTAAATGATTGCCCTTGAGAACACAGCTTTTGCAGTTAATCATGTGCAAATAAATTACATTCAACTGAAACTATGATTATTTTGTTATTTTAATACTAAACTGAACAGTGAAATGAAATCAGAGGAGAAAGAAAATGAAGCTAGTGGCTTCCTTTCAATAGTGTCTTCTAATTTTATTGATGCTTCAGTTTTCATAAAGTGCAATAAACAAATAAATAGATGAGAAAAGCTTTGAAGATTTATATATAGTTTTGAGATTAAGATAAATTACTGACTATATTCCTTTAAGCCCTTTAATGTTGTGAAAGCTGTAATGTAAATGAAAAGCGCATTGAAGCAGGTAACATAATCTCTTCCCCCTTAGATCAATCTACTATTAATGAGTATATAATTATGCAAGCTTATTCTATAACACAAGGCTAGACTACAGGGAAAATTTTTGTGCTACAGACTAAATCCAGATACAGTCAGGTGCTGAGCATTATTCCTGGCTTCAAAATAGGAGGTATCTGTTTCGTCATCTGGCTGGGGAATGAAAGGCATAGTTTGATGCTGCAGATTTTCCCAGTCCACGTCACTGAAGAGAGGATGACATTTTAGCTCTTAGGAAAAATATAAAACAAAACAGAACACTGATATCATTACCTAAGTAAGTACTGCTTTACAGTAATTATGGTAAGAAAAGAATGTCTCACATATAATTTACCTTACCTTATTATGCCAGTTTAGCAGATGTTTGTTTAATGTCTGTCTCTCTATTAGGCCACATACTTCACATAGACCATTTTGAATAGCACTTGGCATATGACAGGTGCCTGGTTTGTATTTGTTTAATAAGAAAATGAATGATCTGCCTTAACTTAGAAGCCTATCTTTCTCACTTTTTTTTTTTTGGAGATAGAGTCTTGCTCCATTGCCCAGGCTGGAGTGCAGGGGCACAATTTTGGCTCACTGCAACCTCCGCCTCCCAGATTCAAGGGATTCTCCTGCCTCAGCCTCCCAAGTAGCTGGGATTACAGGTGCCTGCCACCACACCCAGCTGATTTTTGTATTTTTAGTAGAGATGGGTTTCACCATGTTGGCTAGGCTGGTGTCAAACTCCCAACCTCAAGTCATCTGTCTGCCTCAGCCTCCCAAAGTGCTGGGATTACAGGCATAAGCCACCGTGCCTGCCCTGCCTGGATCTTCTTACAGAATTCCTGACTCCAGAGAAGACAGTGTGGCCTACTTTCTACTCCTTAATAAACAAACCTTCCATGCCACTGGTCTTCCATGATGAATGCTCCAATTCTTACCCTAAGGCCTTGCCACCTGTTTATATCAACACACTCCTTAGCACTATCTATTGCCCTAGACAGCCTTAGCATGAAGTTCACCCTCCTCTACATTTCTCCCTTGCACTCCATCTTCATTCTTCACAGTGATTTCAAGATATACACTGATGACATTTCTAACATGTTCTCTTCATGGTTCTTTACGTTCTTGATTTCACTGACTTGCATCTCTACAACATACTGACTTCTAGCAGATGGCTACACTGGAAGCTCTATATCACAAAGCTGCTCTGGTTACAAGATCTCAAGCCTTGCTCACCTCTTTACTGTCATTTCATTACCTGTCATTGTTCCTATTTCCTTGTACCTAGTAAAATGAAAATATGCTCTTTTGGGCCAGGTGTGGTGGGTGACTCATGCCTGTAATCCCAGCACTTTGGGAGGCTGAGGTGGGCAGATCGTTTGAGGTTAAGAGTTCGAGACCAGCCTGGCCAACACAGTGAAACCCTATCTCTACTAAAAATACAAAAATTAGTCAGGCGTGGTAGGGTGTGCCTGTAGTCCCAGCTACTTAAAAGGCTGATGCAGGAGAATCACTTGAACCTGGGAGGCAGAGGCTACAATGAGCTGAGATCATGCCACTACATTCCAGCCTGGGTGACAGAACAAGATTCTGTCTAAAACTAAAATAATAATAATAATAAATCCTTCTTATGAGTGATAGTGCTTTTTATAATAGCAATCTGACCAATATGTTGCTTTTGGACACTCATATCTATTCTGAAATAATACTACAAGGACTCAATCTATTCAAATCCAATGTATGCCACCAGAAGTTGAAATGTGTGGGTGTTTATGTGTTTCAAGTAGCATAATCTAAGTCTGAAGTGTCTTGAAAAAGCTGGAACTGAGTTTCCAAATGTCTGCTCCCTCACTTTTCACAGGTTTCTGCTCAAATCCCCCTCTTCATAGAGGTCTTCCTGACCACACTGTCTAAAAAGAAGTCTCCTGCCATCACTTCGTGTCCTCTCACCCTACTTTATTTTTCTTCCTAGCATTTACCATTACATGACATTATATTGTGCCTGTAACTGTTCACTGTCTCTCTACTAGAATGCAAGCTTTCACGAGGACAGAGATCTAAGTCTAGTTCATCCCTAGGGTATTCCCAGTGCCTAAAGCAATATCACCTAGCTCCTAGAAGGCATTCTATAGGATTAGTTAAATCAGTGAGTAAACAAACTGGGCCAGGTGTGGTGGCTCATGCCTGTAATCCCAGCACTTTGGGAGGCCAAGGCGGGCAGATGGCTTGAGCCCAGGTGTTTGAGACCAGCCTGGGCAACACGGTGAAACCCCATCTCTACTAAAAATACAAAAATTAGCCGGGTGTGGTAGTGTACACCTATAGTACCAACTACTTGGGAGGCTGAGGTGAGAAAATCGCTTGAGCCCAGAAGGTTGCAATGAGCCAAGATGGTATCACTGCATTCCAGCCTGGGCGACAGAGCCAGAACATGTCTCAAAAAAAAAAAACCCAAACCAAAAAAACAAACTGTTGATCTTATTATAGGGAACACCTAGAAGCTGATGCAAATGACATATTTCTGAAGCTCCTTTTCCTGAATACACCCTACTTGACATGGAAATGCATTTTGGGACATAGTACTTGTCTCTATAGTACCATACCTTGTTACAAAAAGGATTTTAGGGCAGCTGCTACTGAGATTCGTTAGTTTCCAAATTAAGGTTTAATATACTCCTGCACTGTGAAAATTATTGAGTGGTTTATAATATACCAAGTTTGTCTTAAGCCAAGCTGGGAACTGGTATAATTATCAATAAATAATAGTATCAAAAATGAAGCAATAAGAAATTACAGAACATCTGTCTAGTAAGATTAGGGAAAATACATTTGTTAAAAAAAATTACAGAACAGAGGGTTTCATTAAAAAAAATTCCTGTTACTTCCTTAACTTTACCAGGCTTTGAAAAACCCAAGACATGGGCTAGGAGTGGTGGCTCATGCCTGTAATCTCAGCACTTTGGGAGGCTGAGGTGGCTGGATCACAAGGTCAAGAGATCAAGACCAGCCTGGCCAAATGTGATAAACCCTGTCTCTACTAAAATACAAAAAATTAGCCAGGTATAGTGGTGTGCACCTGTAGTCCTAGCTACTTGGGAAGCTGAGGCAGGTGAATTGCTTGAACCTGGGCTGGGAAGTGGAGGTTGCAGTGAGTTGAGGTCACACTACTGCATTCCAGCCTGATGATGATGCAAGACTGCTTCTCAAAAAAAAAGAAAATAAAAAAACGAAAAACCCCCAGACACTAAGAAGATAAGATTGTTTTAGGACAGGTGTGGGTAGCTCATGCCTGTAATCCCATCATTCTGGGAGGCTGACATGGGAGGATCCTTTGAGCCCAGGATTTTAAGACCAGCCTGAGCAACATACTGAGACCCTGTCTCTAAATAAATAAATAGCAATAATAATATATGTACAAATTGTTTAGAAACAATTTGTTTTCTAAGCAATTTTCAGAAACTTGCTTGAGAATAATACTTTTTTAGAAACTTGCTTGAGATTAATACTTTTTTTTTAGAAACTTGCTTAAGATTAATACTTTTTTTTTTTGAGACAGAGTCTCACTTTGTTGCCCAGGCTGGAATACAGTGGCACAAACATGGCTCACTGTAGCCTCGACCTCTGCGCTCAAGCAATCTTCCCGCCTAAGCCCACCAAGTAGCTGGAGCTACAAGTGCACACTGCCATGCCTGGCTAATTTTTTTAAAGACAGACTTTCACCATGTTGCCCAGACTGGTGACAAACCTTGAGCTCAAACAATTGCCAGCTTCAGCTTCCCACAGTGCTAGGACTATAGGCATGAGCTACCACACCCACTGATTAGTAAAATTTAATGCATGAATACAGTATTGTAATTTGACCACACTAAATTTTTTTTACACCTTTTCTACCATGTGATACATTGAATTTTCGTGGAGAATAAGGACCAATATATCAGTGCATACCTAGAGGGAAGAAATAAATTAAATTATCTTTGTACCAATTTAGCAGTCAGCTTATCTGTAGTATTATATTGGAACTTAATATTTTTGTAAATATTCATCATCTGGAACAAATCAATGGTAAAATAGTATATTAACACAAAACTGTACCTTTCATTCCAGCTCTCTTTGTATCATCAATGGTTAAAAGTATTTCTACTGCACTTTGAGCATTATCAGATAACTTTTCTTCACCTTCTGGCCAAGGGATATCTAAAATTACAAATATCCAAATAAACTTGTTTATCACTGCTCAAAATAATAATACTCACAGATAAATGACTATGTATATATAAATTATCCCAATGGATTAGATAATGTAACCAAATAACACATATATAATGACTATACAAATAGTCATATAGTCACTCATATATAATGACTATATACATATAGTCATATATATAGTTATTTATATATAATGTCTTATATACCTATAGTCATTATATATGTTATTTGGTTACATTACCTAATTACATATACATAAAATACTATATAGTCGTTATATATAATGACTACATATATAGCCATTATATATAAGTATATATAGTATATAGTCACATATATAATGACATATATATTTGATATGGAGTTTCACTCTTGTTGCCCAGTCTGGAGTACAATGGCGTAATCTCAACTCATTGCAACCTCCACCTCCCAGGTTCAAGTGATTCTCCTGCCTCAGCTTCCCGAGTAGCTGGGGATTACAGGCGCCTGCCACCATGCCAGCCTAATTTTTTGTTATTTTTTTTTTTTTAGTAGAGATGGTGTTTCACCATTTTGGCCAGGCTTGTGTCGAACTTGTGACCTCAGGTGATCCACCTGCCTTGGCCTCCCAAAGTGCTAGGATTATAGGTGTGAGCCACCTTGCCCAGCCAGTAAATGACTATCTTAATAGGAGAAAAACAATCACCTCTTTTCAGAATATTCTGGAATACTTGTTGTGGTGTTTCATCATTGAAAGGGGGAATTCCTGTTAGAAATTCAAACAAACAAACTCCAAGTGCCCACCAGTCTACTGCAGGACCTGTAATTGAAGAGGAAATAGCTAAAGTTGCAAGCATTCTCTATAAATATTTAATGAACAGAAATATTAATTGTGGAGTCCTAATTAGAGAAAAGGAGTTAGGTTGGTGGGACCAGGGGAAACAAAAAGAAAAAGCAGATAAGCTATAAGTCTGCCTTCCTTCATGGTCCAGGATGCACAGCCCTCATGTACAAATAACTCACAATCATCCTGTGACCAGCTATCACCAGACCCTTTACTGATGGAAAAATGCAAGGTAGGGCTGGGCACGGTGGCTTATACTTGGAATCCCAGCACTTTGGGAGGCTAAGGTTGGTCGATCACCTGAGGCTAGGAGTTCAAGACCAGCCCAGCCAACATGGTGAAACCCTGTCTCTACTAAAAACCCAAAAGTTAGCCAGACATGGTGGCACATGCCTGTAATCCCAGCTACTGGGGAGACTGAGGCAGGAGAACTGCTTGAACTTGGGAGGCAGAGGTTGCAGTGAGCTGAGATCATGCCACTGCACTCCAGCCTGGGTGACAGAGCAAGACTCTACCTCAAAAAAAAAAGAGAAAGAAAAGAAAAGAAAAATGGGAGTTAGCTCACTGCAACCTTGGGGTTATTAGTACTGCACGTAGCCCTCTCCAGCACAAGTACCATCCTATAAGATCTCCAGCAAGCCTTTGTCTCCTTGTAATCAGCTCCTCTCTTGCTGACTTGCTTGTTGCATCCTTGCAATGTAATTTCTTACTTCTTCTAATAAATTTGCCTTTCCTTACCTACAACTGTCTTGGTCAATTCCTTTACTGCCCACACCACCAGCCCCAAATAGTCACTACATACAACATTAATATATGCACATTTAAGGTAGTCATTGCCTAAGTCTTTCTTCTGTCTTCATAAAGTACAAAAACCCACATTGCTTTCACCTGGGCATATGATAATTGCTTTCCTCTTTATTTTCCAAGAAGTTTAGATTATCAATTGCCACAGCTGGCTAAAGAAATAAACCCATTTTCACTTATTAATAATTTCTGACATTCTGGATATGTTATACATCCTCAGTCCTAAAACACAACCTAAGAGAGTATATTTAAGCTAAAATTATTCTCTAAAATAGACAGATTACTACTCAAGTTCATATCAGGAAATGTTAACATTTACATGATCATTCTGTATCCCACACAAGGTATGAGATAAGGCAGCAACATTTATACTAATTGGAGAAAATCCTGGTAGGAAAAGCCTTAATTACAGAGTATTTTAATGTGGCTTTATTCCTTTTAGGAACACAGAGGGATAAATCAGTTTAACAAAGAATATTCACTTAAACTATGGTTTCAAGAAGTAATAAGGAGTTGTCTTAAGAAATAGGTAAAACTGATTCCTAAATAAAATCTTAATTGGATGCAACATTTATATACAAAGATGTTTTTAACAATTATTTCATTTTATTTATTTATTTGTTTGTTTGTTTATTTATTTATTTTGAGGCGGAGTTTCGCTCTTGTTACCCAGGCTGGAGTGCAATGGCGCATTCTCAGCTCACCGCAACCTCTGCCTCCTGGGTTCAAACTATTCTCCTGTCTCAACCTCCCAAGTAGCTGGGATTACAGGCATGTGCCACCAGGCCCAGCTAATTTTTTTTGTATTTAGTAGAGACAGGGTTTCACCATGTTGGCCAGGATGGTCTTGATCTCTTGACCTCGTGATCCACCTGCCTCGGCATCCCAAAGTGCTGGGATTACAGGCATGAGCCACCGCGCCCGGCAACAATTATTTTAAATATGAGCTTATGAACTCGAAACTGGTTTATACTTTAGTTCTATGAATAAAGTGTTTCCTAAGAAAAGGTGAATTTTTAGTTCAAAACTGGATAACTTCAATATAAATTAAGAACAGGAATTCTAGTATAGTGCTAAATTTTCCTACAAGTTACTCTTTAAAGGCAACTTCACAAAATTCATTATTGTGGTTAAACAACTGCCACCATTCCATTTTAAGACAACTAGGAAAGCATTGTGGAATCTGACTTTAGGAAACAAAGTGCATGCATTTAGAGTGCCATTTTACCTGCAAGCCATACAATCCCATCTTCCCTCAAAGGAACACAAAATGCAAATATTCTACAGGCTTCTATTTCTTTAATACTATAAAAACATACAGACCACCTCAGTTAGTAGGCCTTTCAAGCAGCTGAGAAAGAATTATCCCAATGGATTAGATAATGTAACCAAGTAACAGAAAAGTAGGAGGAAATTAGAAAACTTTTTAAAATTTATTTTACTTATGTTAGAAATTAGGCCCCTTTTACCAGCTCAGCCAAAATATACTTGTGTTACATAAAATAATAACATGATTTCTCCATGGATATGCCACACATACCCATATACTTAAGTCAAAGTCTAATAAGATCACACAGTGGAAGAAAACTTAGCAATTATGTTATGTTCTTAGCCAGAGTAAAAGAGCATTGCTGGTTTTCCAATTCAAAACTCACTCCTTTAATTTGTAGGGATATATTGATGTTGTTGTATTTTTTTATTTTCTAATAATAAAACCAAAATATTTGGAAAATTAAAGCCCTTCTGTAGTTGTTAATTTTTTTTTTTGAGATGGAGTCTCACTCTGTCATCCAGGCTGGAGTGTAGCTCTTGGTTCACTGCAACCTCCGCCTCCCAGGTGCAAGCAATTCTCCTGCCTCAGCCTCCTGAGTAGCGAGTAGCTGGGATTACAGGCATGCGCCACCACATCTGGCTAATTTTTGTATTTTTTTTAGTGGAGATCGGGTTTCACCATGTTGGCCAGGCTGGTCTTGAACTCCTGACTTCAGGTGATCCGCCTGCCTTGGCCTCCCAAAAGTGCTGGGATTATAGGCATGAGCCACAGTGCCCAGCCATTTTTAAAATCTGAATCAATACTATTTCTTCCATTTTAATAAAAAAGACTGTATTTTCACTCTGTGCTACCTTTAAAAGTCAATGAAAAATGCCTCAGGCCTACATTTCTTTTCACAGAGAAGAACGACCTCTCTGGATGTCTTGCTGCTGAGAAGACAGAAGACAGCTCATTTCTGTATATCACAAGTGAGCTAAAAGGAAAATAGTTTTTAAAGCAGCGTGATCTAGTTATACTTTGACTGTTCAGTTTAATGTGCTTTGCCGCATTGCTTTACAGAGAAGCTCACTCACCGGAAGTCAGAAATCCTGCATGTAAGAAAACAGTAGTTAGGTATATTGTATCAAAATTATTAAGAGTCCATTCCCTCATCATTCACTGATTTAGGCACCAGGTATTGTGCCAAATATGAAAGATACAAAGAGGATTAAGAAAAATCTCTTTTCCCAAAGAGAAACCAGCCTTCTCTGGGAGAGACAATAGACAATTTTAACATACTGTTTAAGAAGCTGAAACAAATAGGTGCACAAAGTTATTGAAAACTCAGGACAGAGCTCATCTCGGCTGGGGGCAAGATGGAGGGGCATCATGAATGTCATGGTTTAGCTTCAGCGTGTTGTCAGCATGTTGTTTAGCTGAGGGAGCTAGATGCCTCACTAAAATAGAGGCAAGACCCTATAAAATACATCTTTACGTTTGAAGCTTACTTTCACACTGTGTTCTAAGTTAGAGATAATGCAAATTATAATACAGAAAACAGGCTAGCAAATCTGTGACGCCGCAAAAGAGGCACTATATAAAAATCAGTGCTCATAGGAACTTACTGGCTTTGGCTAAGACAGAAAGAGGAACGTTAAATGTATCTATTTCTAATATGGTAGAGGTTATTAATAACAGTTACTGGGTGCTTCCAAGGAATTCAGGAGTGCTATGTAGAAGGCAGAAAACTCACACTCCCCCCAAGAAGTTTTCTTAAGCTTCTGTTGTGGAGATAAATGTAGCAACTAATTACAACACAGGAAGAATGGCCTAAGTTTTAAATAGTTTCTAATATGGTAATATAGGTCTAATCCCAGGAGTTGATCAAAGGATGCTTTATGGAAGAGGTGACATTTGAAATGATGAAATGAGAAGGAATTTGACTGGAAGATACTTGGAAACTGGCTTTGCTCAAGTAAGGTTAAATACACATGCAAAATAAGGAAGACCTGAAAATTAAATGTATTTAATAAATGATATGGGAACATAAGGCACATAAAGAGACTCTTAGAGAGAAGGCTGGTATGAGAGCTTATAGCTTCAAATATCATGATCAATTTGGATTTTACTTAGCAACTAACTGGGAGCCACTGTAGTTTTTTGAAAAGGGAAATACAATGAGCCATGTGATGATTTGGGAAGAAAAATCTGGTGGCAATGACTATTGATAATGAAGTTGAAGAGACCAGATAGAAGGGCACTAAAAAAATAAAAGAGAAAGATGAGTTCTTAAAGAGAACAGTGGCAGCAAAGAAAATGAGCGGCGAAATGCTGCAGAGATCTATTTCGATGGATTTAAATGCTTGAATGTAGGGACGAAGATTGTGTCACCATGAAGGTGATGAAACTGAGGTAGGGGACAGAGGAAGAGCTAGCTGGATAACAAATCCTGTTTTGTTTTGAGATGGAGTCTTGCTCTGTTGTCCAGACTAGAGTGCAGTCTGGACAACAATCTTGGCTCACTGCAACCTATGCCTCCTGGGTTCAAGTGATTCTCCTGTCTCAGCCTCCCGAGTAGCTGGGATTACAGGTGCATAACACCATGCCTGGCTAATTTTTGGATATTTAGTAGAGACAAGGTTTCACCATGTTGGCCAGGATGGTCTTGAGCTCCTGACCTCAAGTGATCCACCCACCTTGGCCTCTCAAAGTGCTGGAATTATAGATCTGAGCCACAGCAGCAGGCCCCACAAGTCCAGTTTTGACAACCAACATTTGAAAGACTAGTAGAATACTGAATAGCTTGGCTATTGGCTGTGTGTCTGCTGCCTAGACAAAGTTAGGATTAGAGACAGAGATTTGGGAATCATCAACATGGAAGTGAGAACTGAAGCCATGGGAGTGATAAGATGAATAGCAAGCACATGTAAGGCAAGAAGGGTAAGGGGAGAATCTCAAAGAACTATATTTAGAACGGCAAGGAAGGAACTGAAGAGCAGCAACAGAGGTCAGGGGAATGAGAAGAGAAGGCTGGATTTGACAATAAGGAAATCACTGGTGCCTGTTAAGTTTCAGTTAAACAGTGAGATGACGATTGAGTTGCCAGAGCAAAATAATCAAAGAAAGAGGAAACCTTTGAGAAGTTAGGCAATGAGGGGAAGACAAGGGTGGAAACTTATTTTCAGGCAGAGGATAAAAGACAGCAAGGAAATAAAAACAGAAGAAAGGGTGTGAGAGGTGGCGTGGGGAGGATGAAACAGATGAGCATGAAAAGAGCTCAAAGAAAAGGGAAGTAAGTAACATCAACATGCAGAAGGGGTTCATGTTACAGGCTGAACTGTGTCCCCCGCAAAAAAGGTATGCTGAAGTCCTAACCCCCAGTACCTCAGAATGCGACCTTATTTGGAAATGGGTTTCTGCAAATATGACTAATTAGGTTAAGATGAGGCCATACTGGAGTAAGATGGGCTCCTAATGACTGGTGTCCTTCTAAGAAGCCAGCCCTGTGACGATAGAGCCACAGGGAGAACACCATCACAGAAAGAGTGAGAACTGGAATGAGGCACCTTTAAGTCAAGGAACACCAAAGATTGCCAGCAAGCCACCAGAAGCCAGGAAGAAGCAAGGAAGGATTTCCGTTCTTTGCCAGGTGGAGTGGCAGGCACCTGTAATCCCAGCTACTCGGGAGGCTGAGGCAGGAGAATCACTTGAACCTGGGGGCGGAGGTTGCAATCAGCCAAGATCATATCACTGCACTCTAGCCTGGGCAACAGAGCAAGACTACATCTTAAAAAAAGAAAAAAAGTGAGGTAGGATAATATCAGGGGTGGCAGGTGGGGCTTCTCTAGAACATTAAGACTGAAACAGAAGGCAAAGGACAAATGGCCACATGTACTCCAACGTTTGGTCTTTTACATTCAGAGAGTGGGACAGCCGTGGGCACTACTGTCTTCTTTTCCTATGACAAATGCCATATACATATGAGAGTATTGCATGAGTTCATTTTCTTTTACTTTAGGTAATATAAGAACTGAAGAAATTTTTAAAAATTTTACCTCCAGAGATAATGTAGTGATAGAGAATACTTTAAAATCTCAAGACACACATGCCTTACCATGGGCCCTGCCTAGTAACAGCTCTGGTGCGAGGTAGTCTGGGGTTCCTAGAATTCGTCCATCATCAACGGGGGCTGCCCCTCTTCTCACACTCTTCGGAGTTCGGTATGGAGTTCCTGACTTGATCGGATTTGGGGTCTGCTAATTCAAAAAGAGTTTAAGAGATAACAAATACCTTAATTCCTTTTATACTGAACAGAAAATGGTGAAACACACAAGCAAAATAACTAGCTTATAGGTTGTAGGCATAAAAGATGTAGTCAAATCTTTGATAAGTATGAAAAATGAATGCATAGTTAGTTATAATTATGAAAAAGTCCTTTTATCTAGTGAAGTTCAAAAGCTTGGGTAACACTGATTATTCCAACAAGATCTGGATAAGAAACAAAAAAACTGCAAGAAAAATGTTCAATGAAAAAAATCTGCAAGAAGACAGACAGCATGGATTAATACAAGCTTAAGAATAGCCACTGAGGAAGGCTATGGCTGATCAATGATTAAGGCAACACATAAGACATAACTACATATAACCTCTTGTGCTAAATAGCATTTAAAAGTTTTTAGAATAATTTGTTATTTCACAACAATTTTGTAAGACGAGCAGGACAGGTGCCATTATCCCCTAGAAACATTTGGAAAAACTGCAGATCTGAGGGCAAGGGCCTTCTAAGTCATTTAATAGTAAGTCTTGGGTAGAAAACTCAAGTTTTGAAACATAAATTCAGGGGTTGCACCTTTTAGATTATGATGTTTTCCCAAAGGAAGAAAAAAAGTAGAACTTTGGGTTGGTAAAACTTTAGAAAACAAAAACAAAGTAATCTTTGAAATATATATTTTTCAACTTTTATTCTGTTAAGAAAAGAGAGGCCGGGTGTGGTGGCTCATGCCTGTAATCCAAGCACTTTGGAGGCCAAGGCGGGTGGATCACCTGAGGTCAAGAGTTCAAGACCAGCCTGACCAACATGGTGAAACCGTCTTTAAAAAAAAAAAAGAGAGATCATCTAAATATGTCCTTCAAGGGCAGTAAGGTAGAGTGGACTTTAATTCTGTATCTCTGGCAGGACACGGTGGCTCATGCCTGTAATCCCAGCACTTTGGGAGGCTGAGGTGGGCAGACTGCTTGAGGTCAGGAGTTTGAGAGCAACCTGGGCAACATAGTGAAATCCCATCTCTACCAAAAACACAAAAATTAGCTGGGCATGGTGGTGGGCCCCTGCAATCCCAGCTATTCAGGAGGTGGAGACAGGAGAATCACTTGAACCTGGGGAGGCAGAGGTCGTAATGAGCCAAGATCGTACTACTGCACTCCAGCCTGGGCAAAAGAACGAGACTCTGTCTCAAAAAATAAAAATAAATAATAATTTTGCGTCTCAGAGTACTGTGGGGATGAAGTGAAAATATGATTGTATTTTCTTAGAAAAATACATAAAACTATACAAATGGAAGGAGGCATTACAGCTAAAAATAATAAACATGATTTCTAGTAGCTTTACTTTTCTGGGTGAAAACTTCCAACAGCCCACGGAGTCTCAACAAGAACAAAACTATATGATTAATACTGCATAGTCTAGCTTAGAGGCAAATGTCTAACAGTTTTTTTTAAATCCAAAAAACAAAGTGTTAGAAAGTTACAAATATACCTGATACGGCATACAAGATCTTCTTTTCTGCGTAGGGGTTACAGCCATGGGATAGGAACCACTATAAGCACACGAAATATCCATTGCATCTAAAGAAGTCATGTTCATTTTGGATGGTTCTGAGTTATTGGATGCATTAATATGACTGTTAAAACTTCGAAAAGCTACAGCATTTCTTTTAGAGGTTAACGTTTTCGGCACCTCCAAAGAAGGAGGTAACATTTTTTGGTTACTCTCTTGTATGGTAAGGTTCTCGTCACCTTTTGGTGAGGCCTTTTCTTGGCAGTTTGGTGATACAGTAAGTGGATCTTCAATATTTGATTCTTCAAAAGAGGATTCTTTGATACTTCTATCTGGGTCTAAGGGCTGACCTTCTAATGCACTTTCCATTATAGAAATTCCAGGAAAAGATGAATCTGAGTTGATAGAAACATTTTTAGAAGCTCTATCATCATCAGAACATAGAAAACTAGAACTTAAATAGTCCTTCTTACTATTCTTTTCACAATCTTCATCCAGTTCACACATAAGGTTTTTTGCTACCATTGGTATAGGTAATATTTCTGGTGTTTGCTGTTTATCAATAAAGAAATTGACAATGTTCTCCTTATTAGCATTGTCATTTGGTTGACTTTTGTGCACTGATAGCTTAAGGTCCTGAACTTCAATAGTTAAGCCTGTATTTTGATTTGTATAACAATCTATCATTTCATTATGCTTATACTCTACACAGGATTTTTTATTCTTTATAATTTTTTTACAAGGACTGGAATCAACTAACTCAAAATTTCTTTTTAAACTTCTTTTCCCAAGGTGCTCTTCAGATATCCCACGAGAATCCACAGGCCACTGATTTGACTGATGGAAACCTGACTGTCTTGTGTCAGTGTCCATATTTATATTGTTTACATCCAGTTCTACTGCTTCCCAAGAAACTTCCCCAGAAACTTCCCCAGAGAAACATTTTTTAGCAAGGTTTACACAAGAGCATCCAGTGGTGGGAAGGGCACTGCTGTTATGAATGGGAGAAAGAGCTAACTCAAGATCCTTTTTATTGAAACCCTTGGTCTCAATGGCACTTGTAGATTTTGTGTGTAACTTTTCAGCTGTATTCCAACTCGTCGTGGTTGAGCCCAGTGCTTCGTCGCTTTCCTAAGAGGGAAAAAAATATTTGTTTTAGGTATATAAAGCTGAGATATTTTGACCTTTTAACCATGGTCCACTAAGGTAGGATAAATGACCCTATAAATTATTATGCTACCTATTCCCACTTTCAAACGGAACAAATAAATAATAAGAGAAAATTAAAAAGCAATATAAGGCTGGGCTCAGTGGCTCATGCCTGTAATCCCAGCACTTTAGGAGGCTGAGGCGGGAAGATCATGAGGTTAGGAGTTCAAGACCAGCCTTACCAACATGGTGAAACCTTGTCTCTACTAAAAATATAAAAATTAGCTGGGTGTGGTGACGCATGCCTGTAATCCCAGCTACTCAGGAGGCTGAAGCAAGAGAATCATTTGAACCTGGGAGGTGGAGGTTGCGATGAGCTGAGATCAAGTCACTGTACTCCAGCCAGGGCGAGAGTGAAGCAATGTAAACAATTATAAAATTATAAGCTTAAATATGTTATTTTGAATGAATCACTGGTCTAAAATTTAAATAAATTATTCTATAATACTTATTTTGATAGTGTATCACATGTTACTTAAACAGGACAAATTAATAGGCAACATATTAAGGCATACTTGGGGGTAAGGCCACATTATGTACATATCTACTTTACAATAGGTATATAGATGATTCTGGTTTTTGTTTTTGTTTTTTTTGAAACAGGGTCTTGCTGTGTCACTCAGACTGAAGTGCAATGGTGTGATCTCAGCTCACTGCATCCGCTGTCTCCCAGGTATAAGCAGTTGTCCCACCTCAGCCTCCCGGGTAGCTGGGATTACAGGGGACGCTACCACAGCTGGGTAATTTTTGCATTTTCTTTTTTAGTGGAGATGGGATTTCACCTTGTTGGCCAGTCTGATCTCAAACTCCTGACCTCAGGTGATCCACCTGCCTAGGCCTCTCAAAGAGCTGGGATTACAGGCGTGAGCTACCATACCCAGCGTGGATGATTCTGTTTTGAACTACAAAATGCGCAGGGCTTGAAATTTAGTCAGTGAAAAATTATAGACCTAAAATATTGTTTATATCACGTCATGCAAGCATTAAAGAACCACGCTGATAAGGATGAAGTGACACTAATGGTAATTCATAATTACAAACCTCGAAGAGCAGAAATTTAAATCTATTGTCAGTAAGATGAACTGATAAAGCATTAATAACAATATGTTTTTTTCTGAATTCCAACTATCTGTGGGTACTTGTGGGCACTCAACTTTGTATATAATATTGCAAATTGGCGCTTGGTGATCAAGATTTTTACAAGAATAGTCAAGTAGAGTGAGGCTTTAGTAGACTCTAATAGTGCTTATTTTTGATGTGTAAGTCAATAACAAACTTTATTAATTATCATTAACTTAGTAATAATGAGCACTTAGTCACAAGCAAAAGGGTTTTTTTTTTGGAGACAGAGTTTTGCTCTTGCTGCCCAGGCTGGAGGCATGATCTCAGCTCACTGTAGCCTCCGCCTCCTGGGTTCAAGCAATTCTCCTGCCTCAGCCTCCTGAGTAGCTGGGATTACAGGTGCCTGCCACTAGGCCCAGTTAATTTTTGTATTTTTAGTAGAGACAGGGTTTTGCTATGTTGGCCAGGCTGGTCTCAAACTCTTGACCTCAGGTGATCCACCTGCTTCGGCCGCCCAAAGTGCTGGGATTACAGGTGTGAGCCACCGTGCCCAGCCTAAAATGGATATTCTTGAATTATACTTCACTGATCTGCAAGCACAGAAGATGATAGATTTGGGGGTCAGTATAATGTTTTTCAGAGGGTGCCTTATCATTCCTCTGATCATAACTTGAGAAGCACCACTCTAATCCCATTGTTGCATTCCTCAGGGATGCAGAAGTGGGAGGAAGACAGCAAAGCCGTGTATAATTTGAAATAGTAAACAACATATTTTCTTCAATAGGAAAGGAGTGCAATAATAGTACTAGGAATGGAAATCGGTTTATCTTGCAGCATATACTACCTTTATTTTAGCATATAAGGAGAGAAGAAAAAAAGATTAAGAAATCCTGCCTTGGCTAAAAGTTAATTTGATCTTGCATATGAAATACAAATATCCAGTAATAATAAAATTCTATTGCTGAGAATAAGCAGCAAATAGAATACAAGTTATTTTAGCAAATAAAAGGTTTATTCTTTGGATATTAGTGTTATCCTAATCTATCGTTATTTTATCAGCATTCTATGAAGGAAACTTTATTATGATTTTAGATTTTAGTTCCTATCACCTTTAATATCTATTAGCTCTAGTAACTTTTTAAAAAGACAAAAACAGAACATGTAAGTTAAGTAAAGTAACTTTAAGAAAATCCATTCATTTGGCAAGCAATCTCCTCAGAATAGACACTTTAAGGGCACACCCACATTACCTTTGTGGTCTAAAAGTTATTTCTGATCCAGAAGAGTTACCATTCCATAAAACAAGAAACTGGCAGGAAACAGTATAGAAGGAGGTAATGTAAGTTTTTAAATGATGTAAGTTAAAAATAAAATAAAACCAACAGCCAATGTCTGTATCATGGGAAGGACTTTTAAAAACAAGTGATGTCTACCTAGATACGTGGAGCCAAACATTTACTATCAATTTACTGCAAGAATCTCATATAATCAAGCAAGAACAATGTCACAATTGAAAGAAATGAAATATTTCAAAAGGATTTGACAGAATGTGCAGGAAAATGAAGAATTATTGATAATACCATGACTGCCATTTATGTAACAATTTCATTTCTTCATGGAATTTATATGAAAAGGCATAATGTTTTTCTCATTCATTTGGCATACATAATTGATTTTCATTAAGATAAATGTCCCTCAAACCTGGCAATCTTTTTCCCATTTGGGACTGCTGTGGCATTCTGATTCCACACTGGATATGAAGGTGTGGGATTGGCTACTGGCACTAGATGTAGCCAGCCTTTTCCTAGACTGGAGTAGATTAGAAGTTAGACACTTCACAGGCATTCCTGGGTTGGAGGCAAGTGTTTCAAGACCTATAGAGAAGAGATAATATTGAATTCTATGTTACAGCTTTCTTACCTCCTTACTGAACTTGAATGTTTACATATAATTAAGCAAAGTATTAAGTATTACATATCAGAACTATTTCTTTGTAAACACTATCTAGTCCACAAGAACAACTGCAGATGTTTCTGGCAAGCTTCCCATTATGTTTAGATACACACACTATTAATATATTTCAACATATCCCACTATGTTTAGATACATGTACTGCTAGGAGAAAGTTAGAACCAAACAACATTCATACAGTAAAGAATCCTCTTAACATTCATACAGTAAAGAATAAGGAAATGGTGGCTTGATCGACTGATTTATGGTGGGAGTGCAGTGGTACGATCACTTTCACTGTAGCCTTGACCTCCGGGCTCAAGTGATCCTCCCATCTCAGCCTCCTAAGTAGTGAGGACCACCACATCTGGCTAATTTTTCTTTTTGAGACAGAGTCTCACACTGTCACCAGGCTGGAATGCAGTGGCACAATCTCAGCTCATGCAACCTCCATCTCCTGGGTTCAAGCGATTCTCCTGCCTCAGCCTCCTGAGTAGCTGGGATTACACACCCATGCCACCACGCCCAGCTAATTTTTGTATTTTTAGTAGACAAGGTTTTGCCATGTTGGCCAAGCTGGTCTTAAACTCCTGACCTCAGGTGATCTATCTGCCTTGGCCTCCCAAAGTGCTGGATATCATGTTGGTACTCCAAAAGTTTTGAATTTTGGAGCATTTTTTGTTTTTCTGAGGCACGGTCTTGCTCTGTCACCAAGGGTAGAGTTCAATGGTGCTATTATGGCTCACTGGAGCTTCAACCTCCAGGGCTCAAGCAATCCACCTGCCTCAGCCTCCAATATAGCTGGGACCATAAGTGTGCACCAACATGCCCGGATAATTTTTGCAGAGATGAAGTCTCACTTTGTTTCCCAGGCTAGTCTTGAACTCTTGGGTTCAAGAAATCCTGCCACAGCCTCCCAGTATGCCAGGATTACAGGTGTAAGCCTCCAGGCCTGGCCTACCTTTTCTTTTGTACTCACATGATTTTAGTAGTTTGCTAGAATAAGGAGTAGTGTCCTTTTGATCTGTAGACATAGGGCATACGAGTCCTTGAGAAAGCTGTGACGTTTCAGACAGATAGGCAGAAAGGATATTTGCAGAGTCTTGGTTTTTTTCTGCAATTGGTGTGTTCTATTAAAAAGAGAAAAATAAAAACAGGTTTACTTTCCAAAAATAAAAACAGGTCTACTACCACATAAATAGACAAACTGTTAAAGTAAATCCAAATGTTTGGTATTAAGATCTATTTTGATCTCTAAAGATGATTTTAAATTTTAAGTGGTAATCATGAAAGGATATGTCATGTTAATTATCTTCTCAAGTACTTACAAATCCCAAAGAGCTGATGAGCGATAACACTTGTCCTGGGGTTCTTGAATAATCTTGTCTAGGTTTTGCCATTGATGGTGTTGTAAGGATATCCATCATATTAATATCTATACATGCAAAGAAAAGTATATAAATTTACTTAAAATCTTCACCTCCCATTGACTAAAAATGAGTGTTATGTATATGGCAGCAAAATAATTTTTTGTAAATCAAATGTTAAAAAAGGAGATGGTGGCTGGGTGCAGTGGCTCACCACTGTAATGCCAGCAATTTGGGAGGCTAAGGCAGGCTCATCACTTGAGGTCAGGAGTTTGAGACCAGCTTGGCTAACATGGTGAAACCCTGTCTCTACTAAAAATCAAAAATTAGCTGGTTGTGGTGGTGGGTGCCTGTAATCTCAGCTGCTCAGGAGTCTGAAGCAGTAGAATTGAACAAGGGAGGTGGAGTGACCTCAGGAGTCTGAAGCAGTAGAATTGAACAAGGGAGGTGGAGGTATAGTGACCCGAGATCGCACTACTGCACTCCAACCTGGGCAACCGAGCAAAACTCTTTCTCAAAAAAAAAATAAATAAATAAATAAGGAGATGGTATGGCATCAGTATTAATTTGGGGCCCCTCATGTTAGCTAATATGTTTAAGCCTAGGTCAAGATATTAACTGACCAAGATTATTAGCATGTTTCAGTGAATAATATTTTAAAATAATTCAACACTGACACATAATACTATACTATTCCACTTAGATATTAAAAAAATGGTAAAAGAAATAATCCCAGAATGCTAATGTTCTTATATGATATAGGACTTCTTAAAATTAGCTGGGTATGTTCTTGTCCAGGCATGGTGGCTCACACCTGAAATCCTAGCACTTTGGGAAGCCAAGCAGGGAGGATCCCTTGAGCCCAGGAGTTTGAAACCAGCCTGGGCAACACAGACCTATCTGTATAGAAAATTTAAAAACTAGTTGGGCACTGTGGCAAGCACCTGTAGTTCCAGCTACTGGGGAGACTAAGGTGGGAGAATTGCTTTTCCCAGGAGTTTGAGGCTACAGTGAACTATGATCACATCACTGCACCCCAGCCTGGGTGATACAGTAAGACCCTGTCTCTTAAACAAACAAACAAAAAATAATCCCAGAATGCTAATGTTCTTATATGATATAGGACTTCTTAAAATTAGCTGGGTATGAGAGCTCATGCCTATAGTCCCAGCTACTCAGAAGGCTGAGGCATGAGAATTGCTTGAGCCTGGGACGCAGAGGTTGCAGTGAGCCAATATCACGCCACTGTACTCCAGCCTAGTTGATAGAGCGAGACTCTCTAAATAAATAAATAAATGAAAGTATACTGAAAGTTTTAACAACAAATTTCATTTATGCCTCACACTGATAAAGTAATAAGAACTAATCAGTAATAATAATACACATACAGGATATTTTACACAAAAAATTTTTTTTTAAAAAATTAGACCCTTATGACATACAAAGTGATTTAAATTTATCAACAATTTTATTTTAATGCAAAATTTTTGTCATTTGTGATATTTTCTAATAGCTCATCTGAAATCTTTAGAATCAGATTTCAAAATAAGATTTCAAAGTCAGATTTATTTGAAATCACCATTCAAAAATGTTTAGATTTTAGAAAGGTAATATAGTAAATATACTGCATATTATGGAATATTCCTAGTGGCAAATCATATGAATAATCACATGAACTGGGATCAATAAAGACTATAAATACCCCTGGCCAGGTGCAGTGGCTCAGGACTGTAATCCTAACACTTTGGGAGGCCACAGCAGGTGGAAGAGTTCAAGACCAACCTGGCCAACATGGTGAAACTTTATCTCTCCTAAAAATACAAAAATTAGCTGGTCATGGTGGCAGGCTCCTGTAATTCTAGCTACTTGGGAGGCTGAGGCAGGAGAATTGCTTGAACCCAGGAAGTGGCGGTTGCAGTGAACCAAGATTGTGCCATCGCACTCCAGCTTGGGCAACAGAGCAAAAATTCCATCTCAAAATAATTAAATAAATAAAAATAAAAATCAAAGACAATAAATACCCCTACCTCAATACAGATCAGATTTTATCAAACTTAGTAAAAACTTTTAGGTATTCATAACTATTGAACTTTGTACTTCCACATGAAGAATTGTAGATGTGCATTATTTTCAAATACTAATAGTTATAATTCCAGAGTTTATAATTTATAAGTCCAATTTTTGGTTATTTTCATTATTAATACTTTTCCATCTATCTACCGTTTCTAATAGAGCATACAATATGTTTCTTTTTTTTTTTTGAGACAGAGTCTTGCTCTGTTCCCCAGGCTGGAGTGCAGTGGTATGATCTTGGCTCACTGCAACCTCTGCCTCCTGGGTTCAAGCGATTCTCCCTGCCTCGGCCTCCCTAGTAGCTGGGATTACAGGTGCACACCACCACACCTGGCTAATGTTTGTATTTTTAGTAGAGACAGGGTTTTGCCATGAGTGATCTCCAACTCCTGAACTCAGGACGGGATCTTTGTCCAGACTGATCTCCAACTCCTGACCTCAGGTGATCTACTTGCCTTGGACTCCCAAAGTGTTGGGATTACAGGTGTGAGCCACTGCGCCCAGACTGCTGGACTTCTTAAAAAGGTACTTACCTGACATTTTTCTTACCTCTGTTCAAAGTAACTTTTGAAAGTCCAAAATCTGTCAGTTTAATATGACCCTCATTAGAAATAAGCATATTGTCCGGTTTCAAGTCCCTGCACACACAAAAGGCAAATAGTAGACAACCAAAAAAGGGCTAGTTTTAATGTTAGAATTTCCAGAAAAGAAGAGTTACAGAGGAGACAAACCCTATTTATTTCCTCCAATATAAATATACTCAATGGTGGCTTTGAAAAGTGCAGAAAACATCTCTCAAAAGTGAAACATCTTTTGTACTATTTATCTGAATCTACAGAAAAGATAAATTAATACTAGATTATCTTTGATATCATTCATTAGACATTCCATTAAAATAAAGAGACCTTATTAGATAAAATCAACCTCAAGCCAGTTCAAATTTACATTTACCTTCTTTTTTTCTTGAGATGGAATTTCACTCTTGTCACACAGGCTGGAGTGCAATGGTGAGATCTCAGCTCACTGCAACCTCTGCCTCCCTTCAAGTGATTCTGCTGTCTCAGCCTCCCAAGCAGCTGGGATTACAGGCAACTGCCACCACACCCGGCTAATTTTTGTATTTTTAGAAGAGACAAGGTTTCACTATATTGGCCAGGCCAATCTCGAACTCCTGACCTCAGGTGATCCACCCGCCTCAGCCTCCCAAAGTGCTGAGATTACAAGTGTGAGCCACCCCACCTGGCCTACGTCTACCTTCTTAAAGGAAGGAAAGATTGAGATTTAATAAGTCATTTAACCTGACTTTTTTGCATAGAGAAAAACATTATAAATCAGGTGGACTACAAAATAAAGCACTTTTGTGTAATGCAGAAGAGCAGAAAGGATTCAATACTCTTCACAGAAAATGCCATACTTAGTCGGGCGTGGTGGCTCATGTCTGTAATGGTAGCACTTCGGGAGGCTAAAGTGGGGGGATCCCTTGGGCCCAGCAGTTAAAAGACTAGCCTGGGAAAAATGCTAAAACCTTGTCTCTGCAAAACAACAACAACAACAAAAACCAGGAGTGGTGGCACATGCCTCCAATCCCAAATACTTGGGAGGCCAAGGCAGGGGGGTTGCTTGAGCCCTGGAGGTTGAGGCTCTAATGAGCCAAGATCGAGCCACTGCACTCCACAGCCTGGGTGACAAACTGACCCTGTCTCAACAAAAATAAATAAATAAATAAATACATGCTATACTGATGTTCAAGGCAATATATTGAAAAAAAAAAAAAAACCAAAAAATAGGGAGATGAAAGAAGAGTTAATTTCTAAACTAACACAAGTTACTAGTAAACTTTAAAGAACCTGGAAATAAGTGCAAGTGGTTACCATAAGTATTTGAGACTCAAATACGTAATTTGATTAGTTGAGTTTTTCAGTTAGACTTTGGAGAAAAGTGAGTCTTTACCTGTGGATGATTCCATGTCTATGAAGGTAGTCTAGAGCCAGTGCTACTTCAGAAATATATTTCACGGCCATCTCTTCATCAAAATAGCCATATATGTGTAGGAGAGACTTGACATCTCCCCCAATGAGATATTCCATTACCTATCAAAAAAGAGTTTAATATTGTGAAATAAAAACCATCTGATTACTTTAAAAATCTAGTATTTGGGCATTACAGTTACAATATTTGGCATGGCTCTGTAACAAAACTACCTTTTCTTGCTATTACTCATAATACATTAATACTAGGTTTATTCATGTTGCCATACAGTTTTTAATTAAAATATTAAATGGTTTAGGCTAGGCACAGTGGCTCATGCCTGTAATCTCAGCACTTTGGGAGGCCAAGATGGGCAGATCACTTGAGGCCAGGAGTTCAAGATTAGCCTGGCCAACATAGCAAAACCCCATCTCTACTAAAAATACAAAAAATTAGCTGGGCCTGGTGGCAGGTGCCTGTAGTCTCAGCTACTTGGGAGGCTGAGGCATGAGAATCGCTTGAACCCAGGAGGCGGAGATTGAAGTGAGCCAAGATTGAGCCACTGTAGTCCAACCTGGGCAACAGAGGGAGACTCTATCTCAAATTAAAAAAAACAAAAAAGTAAACTGTTCAGTGTGAACAAAAATTCAAACTTATAATAAAGTTGCAAGAATATTAGAATGATTTCCTATATACTCTTTATCTAGATTCACCCATAATTGCAATATTTGTTATCTTCCTCTCCACATATATGCATATAAAATAACTGTTTAATATTTACATATTCGTGTTTATTTATTTAGAGACAGGGTCTTGCTCTGTCACTTAGACTGGAGTATAGTCGTGTGACCATAGCTCACTGCAACCTCAAACCTGTGGCTTCAAGTGATCCTCCTGCCTCTGCCTCCCAAAGCACTGACATAGGCCTGAGACACCTTGCCCAGTCTATGTTAGTATTTACAAACTGTAAATTATTAACAACCAACCTAAGTATATTTTATATGCATGCATTTTTGTTTAGACTAAAGCCATTTATATTTTGAAAATGGCAACAATAGCAAACCTGGTATTAATGTATAATTTTTATTTTACTTTTTTCTTTTTCTTCCTTTTTTGGACACTAGAGAAGGAACGGAATAATGTGTAATTTTAAAATTTTTGCTGAATAATTTGGGAATAGAGCTGGAAAGGTCATCACCTGTCACCATTAAATTCATCATGCATTTCCTAATGAGATATTCTTACATAATTATAGTACAATAAAATTAAGTGAATTTAACACCAATATAATGCTATTACCTAATATAGAGTCCATATTCAAATTTATCTGACCATCTTGAAATCATCCTCCTCATCCCCTGTTCCTAAGCCAGGATCATGTATGGCATTTGGTTGTTGTGTCTCCTTAGTCTCCTTTAATCTGGAGCAGTTTTTCAGCCTTTTTGATGGGTAGATGGAGAGGTTTTGATAATGCAGACTTGTTTTCTTATTTTTGAAATGAAGTCTCACTCTCTTGCCAACGCTGGAATACAGGGTGTGATCTCAGCTCATAATAACCTCCACCTCCCGGGTTCAAGCAATTCTCCTGCCTCGGCCTCCCAAGTAGCTGGGATTACAGATGCCTGACACCACGCCTGGCTAATTTTTATATATATTTTTAAAGGAGGCATCAAAGAATCATAATTTCTGTATTTTTAGTAGAGACAGGGTTTCATCATCTTGGCCAGGCTGGTCTTGAACTCCTGACCTTGTGATCCACCCACCTTGGCCTCCCAAAGTGCTGGGATTATAGGCGTGAGCCACCGTGCCTGGCCAATGATGCAGACATTTTTGAAGAGCACAGGTTTATGCACAGAAGTGCTTCAATTTGGGGTTGTCAATTATTTTTTTGTGATTTGATTCAGGTTATCGATTTTTGGCAAAAAATATCACCTAAGTGATGTTGAGTACTTCTTACTGACTCCCACCAGATGAGACACCTAATGTCAGTGTGTCCCATTACTGGTCATGTTAACTTTGATTACTTGGTTATTGTGGTGACTCAGATTTCTCTATTTAAGTTGTACCTTTTTTCCCTTTGTGATGAAAAAGTAATCTGTAAAAAGATACCTTGAGACTATGTATGCAAAACATTCCCCCCAGAAACTCTCAACCAATGATTTTAGCACCACATGACCACCATGCTTGCCTGAATCCGTTATTGCCATGTTGATTGCAAGACTCTATTATTCCTTCTATGTGTACGGTCATTATTCTCAACATTATTCTATAGTTTTAAGCTAGAAAAATACCGCCTGCTGATATTTCTTTCTCAGTGTCAGTAGCTTCCCTAGTACACAGAGGTTAGTCAATAGTTGTAGATGGGTTCCATCATCTACATTATTTATTGCACACAAAATCTCTGTTACTTTCCCCAACAGTGATTATCAATCATTTTTATCTTTGCCAATATAAGGAAAAGAAATGGGCTGGGTGCAGTAGCTTACACCTGTATTACCAGCACTTTGGGAGGGCAAGGTGGGTAGATCACTTGAGGTCAGGAGTTCAAGACCAGCCTGACCAACATGGCAAAGCCCCATCTCTAGTAAAAAAATACAAAAATTATTTTTTGCAGTTCTTTTTGTCCTTGAAATACACTGTTATGATTCTGCTTTTTGAAATCACCACTGGGCATGGTGGCACAGGCTTGTAATCCCAGCTACTCGGGAGGCTAAGGCATGAGAATCGCTTGAGCCTGGGAGGCAGAGATTGCAGTGAGCCGAGATCACGCCACTGTACTCCAGCCTGGGAGACAGGAAAACTGTCTCAAAAAACAACAAAAGGTCTCGTTTAAATGTTTAGTTCATTAACTATTAGGAAGATTAGGCATCACTACACACTGTGTTTTTCCTTTTATATTTCATCTCTAAACTGCTTTTCCAACCTTTGCCCATTTTTCTACTAGGGTAAACAAACTCTTTCTTATTGATTTGTATAATCTGTTTATGCAATAGTAAAATTAGGCTCTTATCTGTCTTTTGGACAACAAATATTTTCTTTGAACTTTTCATTTGACTCTGTAAAGAGTATCTTGTGTTATTTAAAATTTTTTATTTTATTTATTATTTGAGATGGAGTCTCATGCTGTCCCCTGGGCCTTGTTTCAAAAAAAAAAAAAAAAATACACATCGGTTTTCTTCTGGCACTCTTAGGAATTTCTTTTTAAAGTAGAAATCTCTGATATAAAAGGGAAACATATGAACCTAGCTGTATATCAAGTTTTAGAACTACATAGAGAATGATTTCAAGTGACTTCAAAAAACGGAATCATGACAGTGCATTTCAAGGACAAAAAGAACTGCAAATAAATTAGAAATCTTAAATCCAGCAGTTTTAGTTTTAGGAAACAATATTGGTATTGTCACTTTTGAAAATATTGGGCATATATATATATATTCTTTTGATTTTTTCCCAACCTTTTAAAAATGTAAAACCTATTTTTAGCTTACAGAAAGACAGTGAGTCAGATTCGGCCTATGAGGCCTAGTTTGCCAACCACCAGCTTTGTATCTGGTATTCACCTTCTTACTTCCAGTATGTATGTATTTTTGACTCACTCACATGGTGAATCATCCTGCAACACAGATTCCCATTTCATGCTTTCTCAGAATCTAGGGATCTCCTGATGGGGCTCCCTTTAACTTTGTTTTGTTGGTGAATTCCAATATATATTTGTATCCTTCCAAAATCTTTCCCCATAGAATCATCAGGTCTCATTGCCCACCGAAGAGGTCATGACAACCAGATAATATTGCAATTCCCACTGAAGTATTCACTGTAGTGTTGTTTAGGACCAAAAATAAAAAGTAAAACAAACAAACAAACCAAATCCCATTAAATGATGATATTCAACAAATTTCATCAATAAGACATTCATTAAGGAAATAATGGAATTCATAACTAAATCAATAGAATTCTATGCAGTCATTAAAAAGGATGAGGTAAAAAAAAAAAAGGATGAGGTAGGTCACCAATAAGTGGGAAAAATAGAAAACAGTGGTCCCACCTTATCCACAGCTTCACTTTCCATAGTTTCAGTTACAAGAGGTCCAAAAATAGGACAATACAGTACAATATTTTGAGGGAGAACACATTCATGTAAGTTTTATTACTTTTATTTATTTATTTTTATTTTTTGAGACGGAGTTTTACTCTTGTTGCCCAGGCTAGAGTGCAATGGCACGATTTTGGCTCAGTGCAACTTCTGCCTCCTGGGTTCAAGCGATTCTAGCCAGCCACCATGCCTGGCTAATTTTTGTATAGGCACAGTATGAGATTAACAACTCATACTGATAAAATGAGAACATTATAAAATAGAACAATTATAACAACATACTGTCCACAATTTGATGGGTAGAGGATTTGTTCTTACCATAGAGCTTAGCAACCTCAGCAACAATTTTCTTTCTATATTGACAATGTTCACATCTTTACCTAAAGAAAGCCCTTTTTGGCTTCTTTTTGGAATATCTGAACTATCAGCATTACTACTCTTGTACTTTGGAGCCATAATGAAGTAAAATAAAGATTATACAACCACTATGATACCTTGACAGTCCATCTAATAGCTGAGATCTGATAAATAAGTGACTGACAGGAGCATGTACAGGGTGGATACATTGGACAAAGGGATGACTCATCTCCCAGGCAAGACAAGGCAGGATGAAGAAAGATGGGTGCAATTTAAAACCTATGAATTGTTTGTCTTTAGAATTTTCCATTTAATATTGTCAGACTGTGGGTGACAGAGGGTAAGAAATCACAGATAAAGACACTACTGTATATTGTTACAATTATTCTATTTTGGTTATTGGTGTTGATCTCTTACTGGGCCTAATTTATATATTAAGCTTTATCATAGGTATGTATAAATAAGAAAAAACATATAAAAGATTTGGTATTATCCATGTTAAGGTACTTACTGGGGGGTCTTACAAAGTATCCCCCAAGGATAAGGGGGGACTACTGTAGTATTTACAGTATGATCACATTACACCATATACTTAAATAACTGGTTTGCAAAAAACTTTTACTTTTCCTAAATTAGTCCAAAAGAAAAAACAAAAAAAACGTGCTTACAACT